AGTGAGAGAGAGGAGAGCGGAGAGAGAGAGAGAGAGAGAGAGAGAAAGAGAGAGAGAGAGAGGAGAGAGAGAGAGAAGAGAGAGAGAGAGGAGAGGAGAGCGAGAGAGAGAGAGAGAGAGAGAGAGAGAGAGAGAGAGAGAGAGGGAGGGGATAGCAATACCTCTGCGTTGAATTACATTATGTTCAGTTATTTATTGGCCTGCAATTCGATATTGTTTGTACAGTTCAGCCCAGGGAAGTATTCAATATCTCTAGGTATTACAAAGCCGCTCCTTCACGCGTGCTGTAGACCAGGTCGTGTCGTGTCCACAGTGACCTTTTCTTTCCCTGCCTAGCTAACTGGCGCACGCTCGCGGAACTCATTACCGGGGTCTTACTGGAACGAGGGTACATCGATCACTAACGCGAAACTGATCATGAGCCGGACGGTCGTCAAATTTGGCGGTCGCTGCAGCGTTCATTTCAGCCACGCAGTGTAGTGAGGCGGCCCGTAATGGTTATTCCGATCGAGTGACCGATTTCCAGCGAACCGATCGCTGCCGTCGGAGCGTCTGACGGACGGTGGCCTGGGGCTGGCGACCTTTGTGAGGTTGTCCCTGCCACTCACAGGGCCGTCGTGGTCCGATACTGTGTGCCACATACGAGCCTCAGGCGCCATCAACGCGTATCGATAAAGGATGGCCTCGGACGCTCTGAGGACACCGGTTCAATGCGGTCGCTGCTGCACTGCCTCCTAAACGGTGCTTCCATACCGCGCCAGGCAGAATTTCTGACATTATCCAGGCCCAACTTTGGCGGCGCCTCTAAAGCACCGCTCAAATGTCAGCGGGTAGCACACGGTGCGGCCCACGGAGCAGGGAGGGGTTGATCGGTCAACCAAGTCTGCACCCACCGCGAGATCTGCCGACACGCGTTACCACTCAGCGTTCCATTGGAGGCAAATTAGCCCGGCCGGCGGCCCTGACAATCCGGCGCTGTCACGTGCCGGGCAGACCGAGACGATCACGGCGCCGCCACGTCGCCAGATGTCACCGGGCCGTCAGCCACCATACGCGTGACGTCAGTGGGTGTTATTGTGACGTCATTGGTTACTGGCAAGGCCGGTTAGCGCCATGAAAAGGGTCAATAATAATGAGCTGTTGCCCGGTCTCTGGGAATGGTTCACCGGCGCATTGGAAAACTACTTTGACCCTTTGATGATCAACCGAATATGGTGCGGGAACTCCGTGGAGAAGCGTGGGTGGCATGGGTACCTACTTATGGTCAGAGGACTTCGCTTTGAGAAGCGTCGCAACAAAAAGTAGCAGGCCTGCGTGGTCTCGTTGTTGCATTGGCCAAGTTAAAAAACAATCATGGTCTGGTGGAAGATCTCCATTAGCAATAGTAAAAAACAATAACCAGTCTAAAAATCTGTTGTAACCGAAAAATATGTTGATTTCTTCTCTCTAAAAATCTCATCAGTTCGAGTGACAATATGGTTTTGAAGTCATCCTCCCCGACCATTCAGGTCCTAACCTTGGGAAAACTTGCAATTCGGTCAACTGAGATCACATGATAATATTCCAGGTCCGCTTAGATTTGCTAAATTAGGTTAGGTAATGCTCCATAATCAGGACATCGGCAATAGCACAGCGCAAATTACGCCTAAACGGCCTTTACTGTGAACGATGACCAGCTAACTCCCAATTATCAGGTCATTATTCTGCAATCGGTTCGCCGATAAAACGTGAGCTGAATCCATAAAAGCATATTGACGACTTAAATAATAAATCCAAGTGACCAAGCATTGAGCTCAACAAGTTAATTTGCGATGTTTTGTTAACCTCTTGCCAGCATCGAGCACTGCAGAGTGAGTATTTCAAATATTGGCCGAGAGACGTTACATGTGACAATCTAAAAAAAGAAGCCGGACCGTTAGCAGTGGATCGCTTGTTTGTTTTCGACTTTTACATACTGAACAGGTGCGTGTACGATTTTGGTCCACAGCTTTTCTTTGCATCAGTGGACATCATATGATTATTAATCCAAATAGTGACTGAAGTGATCTACTAATTTTCATATAGTTATCATCTATAACTACCAACAGCAAAAAGAGAACGACCACGATGAAAATAAATCGACCTGCTGTCAGGTAGGGGAGACCCGGGAGGTATGTATAGGCCCCCTGGAGGTATGGGCCATCGCAGTTTTGAAGAAGTGTTGCGTATTTTTACACGTTTGACGGCGTTAACTGGTAGCAGCCATTCCGTTATACATCCAACATGATTTTCAAATATTCCTCAGTCTTCTTTGGTAATGAGCGGTGATAAAGCGTTTTGCCCTCTTCGAGTAAAATACGGTATATACAGAAAATTCGTGATACATTTGAACCAGGCTCGTTTTATGGTGTCAGACCTTCGCTAACATAAAGTTTAAAGCATGCAAATTAAGACTGAATAGACAATTTGAAGCTTTCTTGCAAGATTATGAGCTGAGATGCTACGCACATTCTGGCGTCCTAACCGGGAGGTTCGGGCCACCCACCCCGTCGATTCTAAATAAACAAAAATGTTGCTTTTATTGAATGTCCCCATCAACAAGATTTATTTTTGTCGCGCAAGGTCGAAAATTTAACTTCAAATTTAATTCGAACAGAAAAATATTATTGATCTTATTTCATGGTGCATGCTTGAGTTTACTAAAATACATATGGGCCCAAGTGATCTCCATGAAGTACCTAAGCTGTTGGCCGCTTATGCGGTTCCTGGGCTCTAAGAGAGATCAAGGTAGATACCAGCTTCGAGTGTATTCTCATTGTCGAGAAAAGAATATGAAACATGGCACCGGTCCATACCTCCCGGGCCATGGCCCATACCTCCCGGTGTATTTTGCTGGATCGAATTAGCACATGATTTATGGGAAGTTATCTGGAGACAAAATAATTGATCCCAGATGAATAATATCAGGCACACGTTGCAGGCGAAAGGCAATTTCACGTGCACAGAGTGAAAAACCGAGTCTAGCCACTGCCCACTGGAAGAAAATTGTCTTTTCACAAAACCGGCCCATACCTTCCGGGTCTCCCCTACAACATGGTGACGAGGTAATCGACAATCCCATTTGATTCAAAAATCGCTACACTTCTGGTCTGGAATATTTTGGTCTGTTTCATAATTCAAGTGTCACTAACTCTATAGCTTAGACCTAGAGTTAGCTCAACCGAGCTCAGTCTACCGACCAGAATACATTTCGCTACATCTCCAACCCAAAACAGCGACCGCACTTTCACCTTTAGAACTGAAGTCAACTGACAGTTCATTGGGTTTCCGAACTCGACAAAGTGCCGGCGCCGAGCAGCGATCCGTGACACGTGTCTCTGCTGAGTCAGCGCGGGACGTTCCGTAAACTCAGCTTCGGCAGCTCGGCTTCCAACTCCGGCACGCGCGCCGCATCTGTCTCCGTCCGACTCCCTCGGACTCGTAACCGGCGAATGGACGGACGGCACCCATTTCGGCCGGGTGTCCGCCGCTGGCGGCCGCACGCCCTCCACAAACATCAAACATGTCAGCCTGACCGTGCCGACGGCGCCGGCCCCGGGCACGAGGCCGCTTCTCCAAACCGAGCCGTATTTACTTTGGAGACGAGTGCAAGCACCGCACTGTGAATAGCTAACAGCGCTCAGCCGGAATTGGCGCCGGTGTGGAAGGATTCCCTCTGGGGACGGCAGGTCGTTCGCCCCGTGACCGTTGAGAGGAATCCAATTGAATGGCGCAGAGAGGTCCGATGGGACAGGACGGCGACACGCAGACGCTGACTATTCAGCAGTTTTCGGCGGAAAGACCCAGGAAAGGGACCGACGCGATAGGGGGAATGAATCGCACACGATTGGAAATAAACCATTTATCCAAATAATACACAAACAGGTAATGGGCTGTTTCGGACGAATAATGGCGAAATTGCACCTTGTCAGGTTTTTGAAGCGTGTGAAAGCTAATCCACTAATAATCTCGCCCTACATATGATATCTGTTCCACTTCTAAATGCCACGCCTAGCAGCATATCACCAAGTATTTTTGGACACCGCGTAGCACCATCTCTTTGAGAAAACTCTAGTCTTTCAATAAAAACAGGGGTTTCCTGTAGACAAGTCAAATGCGTGTATGTCGAAAATTGTACAAATGACATCCTGTTTTCTTCAGAGAACTGAGCCATTACCTAATTCACTGGTCATTTATTGTGCTGACGTCTGTGGTCTGGGGTGCTTTTCACCACTTCAGCTTATTTGTTCGTCTCGTCGCCGATGAATTGGTGAGGTGTCTGACTGAATGTCAGGGCTTAGCCAACATACAGCAATAGCTTATAAGGGAGCATTGCATAAAGAACAGATTAGCGGAAAGCTTAGGAATGCTTTGGTGTGGCTGAGCGGTTATGACCGAGGATGAAGGAGCCTTTCCTGCGCTTCACAGTGTAATTCGGCTGCAGATACCGATGCTCAATACATTTGATTAGACTTATGAGGCTTATAAGTGTAGAAGTGAACCCCACCCATTGCTGGGGTCGTATCAGCACACATACCCGATGCCGGAGGTTGTAGGTGAGCACCAGGTTGCGTGCGAACGAGTTAGCGAACGCGTGGTAAAAGTCGAGCACCTCGAGCAGCTTGTCGCGTTTGATGGTGTGTAGGTCGCAGTAGGTGAGCGCTCGTACGTTGGCCGCCGCCTGGCCAACGGTCGGATCCTTCCAAAACGTGTCTCCGAACACGTCACCCTGACCTGCCGGAGGGAGATGGAGGTCATCAGGTGAGCGCTCACACCCTTAAGGCCCTTGTGATAGTTGCGATAACATGTAAAACCTGCAACCATTCGTTGCCTGTGCTTTACTTTCAAAAGCATGAAGAGCGTATGGGTTGAGGGCTTCCCCATTTCCCATTAAATACCTGCTTAAAAATGTTTTCAGCATTAGCTTATCATTGCATTATAACATTTTTTAGGCAACATATAAAACAGCCAACAGTATAAAAAAAAAATCCTGAAAATGAAACGTAAATAGACACGAAGCAACGAGCTTGGTTTCATCAATTCCTACTGCGTCCGACCGGGAATCTGTTGCGATTGCACTCTCCGCTGCATTATGCAGTGCTCGTGGCGCTATTTTCTGCAAATGGCAACAGTCTGCAGTCGCGCTGACGGCGGCTGGGCTCGGCAATGGCTCTCGGATGGCCCTGGGACGGGCGGCTATCCGGAGTCAGGATGGCAATGGACGGCAACGGCCACCGGCAGAGCCACCGGGTCTGCCTCTGACGTCCTGCCACAACGGCAAAGTCAGCGAGTGAGCGACGGAAGTGCTGTTAAGCATTGTAATAGATAGTAATAGAAAATACAGCAAAGAAAAGGCTGGAACAGTGACCATGAATATAATCCATGTAGACCGAGCCTGGGAATATGTATACCTGATAGTCAGGACAATACTTTTCCAAGAGTTGCACTTAGCTTTTTTCTGTGGTGGATCTTATTTTCCGAGAGCATAATTTCATCCGCTGAGGCTAGCCACTGGCCATTCCGGGTATTCTCAGTGCGGTGAAGGTGGCTAATAAACTACTACAAATATATGTCCTGGTAGACCTCAGTCAATATCCACATATGTACACTTGTGTCAAGCACACGTGCTTGTTTTCTGTTCATCCTTAGGATTTTTTCATTCTTCCAAACATCAAAAGGTAGAATTACCTGAAGTAGTGCCACTTCAGACCGAACAAAGAAAAACAGCTCAGCTGGTACACAATCCTCTCAGGCTCTATATCCACATTGTTCCACGCTCCAGTGATCCCTCCAGCCCGACGGCGTTTGTCGCCGGCTCCATTCCGTTCGACCTCTCCCGGAGTCCCCTTCATCACTCCGGGAGTGCTCCTCCAGCACTCTCGACCACAATTCAGACGCTCTCGTTGGCGCCGAGCGGGTTCTTAGCCGTTCCCAAACGCGGCCTCTACAGTCGCCAAAGCGGCCCTCACTGCTTTATCGGGAGACAACAGCCGCGAGCTGCCATTCTAAACAGAACCGACCGACCGCGAGTCACTGTGAACGAGCGGCTCCAGCTGCAGGGCAGAGTTCGGGTCAGTGAGGGAGAGGGGGGGGAGAGGGTGTCCGGAGGCCGTGCTGGGCCGGCGCCGCGGCTGTGGCCGCCGTCTTGTCCACACACACAGAAAAATATTAACACCGTACATTGCACAGTACATATCTGAGCACTTGAGGAAAAGGAGGGTTGGGTGTTTTGCTACATGTAACTAGTTAAACACCCAACCCTCCTAACAGTGTTCTATGTATTACCTTCTTCCTGGTGTTCATTTGGAAGCGCGAGTAATTTAAGCGGGGAAGGGACTAAATTAACTTTCCTCAAGTGCTCAGATATGTACTGTGCAATTACACCGCTAACGGTGTCAATATTTTTCTGTGTGCAGGGAGCTGAGTGCGGCGTTACAAAGGAGGCACTGCCTCGGGACGGCGGACGGCCGCGGATGTTCCGCAAAAGCACTGAGATCTCCCGGCCGTCGCCAATTGTTGAGCGCTGAGCCGGCCGGAGCTGGCCGGACCGAGCGAGACGGCAAAAATAGAGAGCCGCCACCCACGCGAGTAATAGGTGGGTGGACCGAACCGGAACGCTGCACAGAGACGAAGGCGAAAAACAGCGGGCCGGCAGAATTCCACGCTGGCCGCCCACCCGTCGATAGAGATGTTGACTGCCGGGCGCGCCGGTGTGCAGCCGGATAGCGCCGCCGTCTTATCGGAAAGCAATGCGCCGACAGAGCTTTGTTAGTGACGCTGCAGCGACACACATCGATCTCTGTAGAGTATCAAGTTGCATGACATCGATCTCAATAAACATCTTGTCGAGTATGCTGTCAGCAGAAAAGTTATGTGGCGATAGTTCGAAATGTTTGGCGGCGATTGCGTCGGTTTGTTGTCTTTAATAGTTACTAGCTATTACATAGCTGACCTCAACTCGTCGCAATGCGGTATTTCTGTCGAAGCTTCATGTTGAAAGTCGGGATTAAATATCAAACCAGTTACAAAATTTTAAGCCGGGCTGCATCAAGAAATGCATCTGACGAAGAATCCACGTAGCAGACTATATATCTAGTTTATATCCAAACGTAATTTCACTTCCCTTGGTCTCGATGAAATTGAGCTGCTCCCACGGCTCGTTCAACCATGAACCGAGCGACGTTTTGTTCAAACGATCACGCTTCACTCGGCCGGGATATATTTATCGTCGCAGCAGGTCCCCGGCGCGAGTGTAAGTCAGGCTGATTTAGAGCATACTGTTCCCGGTGCAATCAATCACAGGCTTATTCCATTCCATTTAGTCGCCCGGTCGGGTTTCGAAAATGCCTCGTTCAGAGCACTTTGGCCGATTAGCTGGCTGGGTTTGGAGCGAAACATTCAAATGGACAGATCGCGTCGTCCCTTCATGTCATGCAGATATATGGCCGGAAAACCGCATGCTGACGCGGCTTATGTTGCATGTCATTCCGGCCGCTGGGGGCTCGTCTGCGGCCCGTTGCCAGATAATCACCCTCGGAGGCCGTATCAGAGAACGCAGTGTGAACCGCCCTCCCGGGACCGATGGCTGGGGATGGTGACTTCGGAACAGCAAATGATAGAGGGTCTAATATTTCAAATGTAAGTTTCAGATGGTACATTTTCTTTTACTTGGATTATTTCACTGAGGAGTATACAATATTCTTTCAATTTGGACACAAATTGTGCCATAAAGCTGCAGTGCCTAAGGTTCTTAGTATGCTAACCTCCATACCACATACAAAATATGGAACTCCACCACAAAATATCGTGGAGCCTCTACATCATCCGGTAGCGTTTCCACCGATCATCCCCTGCTCCATCAAATTCGAAGAAAACTTTACAAAGTTCCACCGGCGCGGCGGAGCTGAGTTTTCAGTGGTTCAGACTGATGGTGAGAAAGTCAGAGAACTTATAGACATTTATGGTCTATTCTGGAGCTTTATTGACGCGAACAGCCCAAAAAGTTTCCATATGAGACATCTCTAGAAAATTTCCGTGGACATCTATTTCATCTTAGCTGGCTGTAGGTAAAGTGAGCACAAAGCAAGATATCAATCAATCAATACAATAAATAGTCACAGCCTAGAAGTTGTGAAACAGCTTTAGTAGCCTCTTTTACTTATTCTCAACACAATTCATCGTATGTACACAAGGCGTGCACACAAGTCACGCACGACGTCGAGTACTCACCCAAGATGGCCACCACCTCGTCATCCTGGATGACTTCCAGCGACCCGGAGACGATGTAGCACAGCGTGTCGATGCTCTCGCCCGTGTGGAAGAGCATGTCGCCCGGAGCGCTGTGCGACATGTTGAAGTGCACGGCCAGCGCCCTCAGGCAGCCGTCAGAGGCCAGGCGGAACGCCGGGTGCTCGTTGAACACCTTTCGGTTCAGGTGGACGCATATGTCCGCCCGCATGTCCTTCGGACAGTAGTTGAGAACCTGCGATGACGTGATTTTTGGTCAGACAGCTGAATTTTCCGAGCGACAGCGAAAGGCGGCTGAAGGGCCACGTTTGCAGACGACATCACAGGGGTTCAGATGGCCGATTCCGGTCCTTGTGATTTATGTGACGGCAAGGTTCATAAATTGCGAAATGAGATTCAAACACATCGTGTGACGCCGGGAATATCTGAGCAGCTTCGCCGGTCTCCGAGAGCGCCCGACATTATGCAGGGACTGTGGCCGATGATACCACTACACTTTCATGGTACCCAATAAAACGTGATGCTTTAGCGTCCGGCGACTTGGAAGGCTGCTTTACGGCATAACGGGATGCTAGCTCAATGTGGGGATCAAAACGATACCAGGCTATTTACCATTTCGACAAATGCCTTGCCTCCCTGCCTTGAAGGTCAAAGCAGTTTATTTTTAGCCACCAGACACCATCAATTCCCATGCAGCGTTCATTTACTAGAGTCGTGCGGTGTGATCATGCTATGCAACATACTATTCATGCACGTTTCGTTTCATTGGAAATGCTACACATGTGCCAATAGTGAAATTGACTTGTTAGCGTCAAACACATGTCAGGGATCTTTGACAGATATGTGTCCGTACACAATGTAAGACGGAAGTACTTACCTAAGCGTCAGTCGTCAGCCAATCAATGACTTGCTTATTTATTGGTCAGAAATTGAATGCTGTTGCAACTTCTTTTTTTTGCTGACATGAAACCTAATTTACAGCGTTTTTCTAAAACATATTCTGACAATGGAAACGAATGGTTTGAATGCTTGAATGCGCATATTAAAATCTAGCGGAATAATATTGTCTAATATTGTCCAATAGCGAATGGAGGTTAATATTATACGGCAAGTCAATGCCAAACAACCATTTCATGTTAATCTTCACGACAACGATCGACCAGGAATGCCGAATGCAGCTAGCTTATAAACACCACAGTTGGTCTTGCATACCATAGGTGGCTCTTGTATGATTTATAACAAACAGTTCTACCTCCATATTTAACGTGTTTCACTCGCTGTTACTAATTCACCTAGAAACGAACACAAAAAGCGGCAGCTACTAGAACGTGCAACCGGTGACAAGAGCAACGAGCAACAGTCATGAAACGTGCGGCCGGTGATATTCAAGTCAATACTACACCGTGCGGCGGGGTGCACACGATCACATGCGTCAGGCGTCACGTGCACACGGCCACGTGCGGCGGTTGGCACGTGCACAGGATCAGGGTCGGTTCACACGGGAGGGCGGGCCAGCCGTCTGCAGCGGGGCCAGGCGTTACCGACCGGCTGGAAACTCGGAGCAAATCAAACGTATTTCCTCGTCATGGAGAAAACATTGGTGCCGAAACCCAGGCAAAGCCTAAATGATGGCGAGGTGATAAGGTGATTGTAACGTCATGCATATTGCATAATTGTGCTGCAGCTAAGTAGCGTTTCATGGACTTGGGGATTATGATGGATTCTGTCAATGTGTTTTAGAAGAACAATATTTGACAAAAAGGACGATATGTGCAGTTGACGCTGCTTTCATATATGCGTTCGTTTTCTAACTTTAAATCACATCATGCTATGAGCCCTTTTAATTGAACGCAATGCTTAAAGTCGCTGGATGGTAAATTAATAGATGCACAGCAGATTGATGTTGCATAAGCCATTGTCTTGTAAAAATAATCACTTGTCTGGTTTTGATCTGGTTTTGAAGAGCTTCCTTTGTTTGTAGGGGTTTTATTCTTTCACGAAAACACTGCTTCGTTACAACTAGAACAACGCTATTGTAACCGGCTCAGCTCCACTCAAACCGAGCTCAGAGCCCGGAGTAACTGACAGCGCGGCAGCGAGAGAGGGTATGTACAACTATCCTGGGGGTCGGGGGAGGGGTCGTGCCGGCCGACCTGCCGGGGAGAATCGATCCCAGCCTCTCGGCGTCCCGGTCAGCTGAGCTCACCAGGATCCAACAGGAGCCCGTGTGTTACACTGGAGCGGGGTAACGCTGGCTCGAGGGGGGGGGGAGCTTTCCGCGGCGGGCAGCGAACAGACACGGTTGGCTTCGTTAGAGAGGAATATTTGGCCACATATCCCGCTGCAGCCGCAGCCAATGACTGGAAAAACACGCCAGTAACGCGCGGCCAATAATCCGGGGATAGTTGGGCCGGCCGGCGGACGGATCTCGGTGTTTGCCGCGCGGCCACCATGACAACAGAGGTAATCCGCCGATATACCGTCCGAATGAGACCGCCGCCGCGCCGCCAGCCGCGCCAGATTGCTGTTTGTTGCGTCGCAGCTGTTCAGTCTGCTCGGAATGCGACCGACGTCGCCCCCCCCCCCCCAGAGTTGTCGGAGGCTGCCGGCATATTGCGTTAGCGGCTGCGGTGGCGGCGGCAGCGGCGGCAGCGAGAAATAAATGAAACTGGCAAAAGTTGGTGGCGCACCAGGGCGCTGAGATTTTCTGGGAGTCGCCGCACCTGTCCGGAGCTGCGCCGAACCTCTCCAATCCCGACCGGTTCAGACACGGCAGCCGGCTGGGCGGAACGACCGCTGCATCCCAGGGGGACCGCGTGATTTAACTGCGCAAACAACAGCCACTAATGGTGGTATTGATTGACCAGGCTGTCTTGTATTAGTGGCCCCAGGAAATCAACAGATGCTGAACCAGAAGCGTTTAATGCAAAGAAACAGGGCTTTGAGATGTTTTTTTTTTTGCTAGATTCTGCACATTTACAGTCTACCTAGACACACATTACTAAATCAAAACGTTCAAGAAGAGTCACGGAATCATTTAAATGTTGCGAATTTTCACCGAACCTCCTAATTTATTTTGATTCCTGTGGTATAAAAATTATACCAGGATTAAAATTGGCTCGGGTTATATTTGGCTCTAGTTTATGGATAGTGCATTGCCAGTTACGTGTACGAAACTATAGGCCCTTTCACACGTAGCAACTTTTCAGTCGCCGGCGACAGCAGCAGTCGCCGGCGACCGCCAGCGACCGCCAGCCAACGATCGTGTGTGACGTAGGTATGACGTAAGCAAGTCGCTGGCGATCGCCGGGCCACGGCCGGGCAATCGCCAGCAACTGGTGACGTCAGATCCGCGTCACAGGCCAGTCGCCGGCGACTCTTCTCGAGCAGCGGACGCCGCCATGACAGTTTTGTCCTTGGTGAGTGGTTTAGGTGATTTGTGATGCATTTTTTTCCTAAATTGGTTGGTGTGGCTACCTTAAATTTGTTGCACAGTAGCATAGGGATTATTATCTTGTAGTTTGCCTGTCGTGAAGCTGTTGTGACTTGAATTTAAGCTTGATTCGACAATATTGGAGGGTTTATGTCATTTGTGGCGCACTTGCCCATGATCACCCATGATTTTTATTTGTGATAAATATGTATTTTTTCATCAAAATTGAATATTTTAATGACATTGAAATTGACACTAGTTTCATAAGGTAATGAAAACTTGCTTGTTGTGTCACAAGAACATTGTTTACATTCAGTATCAGTGCCCTTGAGGACAAAGTGCCTACCATCAGTCAGCTATTTGCCTACCTATTCGTGCGACACAAGGAAATATTTGATAGCAACAAAATATTATATTGCTGCTCATTAATTAGCATGATCAAAATCAAACAGGTAGCTTTGCAATTTTGTTATTGTTTCTGCTGGAGTTTTCCTTGGTACCATGGATAAACAACCCAGGCCAAACTTAATCCGCATTGGGTTCGCATGTGTGCATGCTCACATGGCAAATGATAATCCATGGCTTATTAGTACATAAATAATTGCAGTATGCCCAGTAGGTGGTATGTCATGTATTTTGGCAAGGTATTAGGTGGTATGTATTTTGGCCCTGGAGCTGTTTTCTATTCATTGCAGCAATGCTGCCGGCATGGCTTATGTGTACCATGCGCACACAAGCTCCACCAATGTAAAAATGTCATTTTCACACAAAACTCATAATTGGGAAGGTAGAGCAGACCAAGAATAAGCGGGCATTTGCTGCAGTGTGGAAAAAGTCACTAGAGGCTTGATACTTTTTTTTACATGCAGCAGCCTGGAGATGTCCACAGAGGCATGCCTGAGGATGTCCACAGAGGTGGATCCAGGCAATAGTTTTTACAATCTTCTCCCCTTGTGCCCGCTGTGTGTTGTGCTGACTGTTTGTCCCCCTTCTGGTGGTGCCTAGACTTGCCTCTGCATATCTCCCCAGGCTGCTGCATAATGTCTAAAAAAAACCCTCAAGCCTCTAGTGACTTTAATCACTCCAGTCTCTACAGCATATGCCCACTCATGCTACAGCTGCCTTAATAATACCAAAATTAGTAACAATGGTCTCATAACCATATTCAGTAGGAAATGAATTACCTAGAAAATTATATTAAAAAATACACTTGCTTTCAAAAAGAATGAGCACTGCCTTAAAATGCTAGGTGTGAAATAATGCTAGGTTTCTGAACCACAAATCCAATTCTGTGTCACTGAATACTGATTGCCAATTGTGCAAGACAAAAAGCGTCAACAATGCTACATCAAAGATAATGATGTAAGATAGTTCTCATTTTAGCCTGAAGTGTAAAAACCAAACCTAACCTGATTTGGGTATTTGGGTAAACCAAGCCTAACCTGATTTGGGTATTTGGGTAGTTTTTATGATGCTAAGCAATAGCCTATTCCAGGCTTCCTAATTTGCAGAGCTTTTGGTTAAAAAATGATTTTTAAAAATGTATTTGAAGTATGTTCTGACATGTCCGCCCTCTGTGCCTGGCAGACAAGTCACAGCGTTACCTGATGAGTCAAGAGGTTCTGTACCTGATGTACCTGATCAAGAGTACCTGATGATTCTGCAACACCACCTGATGGCCAACTCGACGGCATTGCTGACCCGAAAAGGAGTCTAGCAGCTGAATGTTCAACTTCTGCCACTGCACTGTTGACTCTGCCTAGAGACAGCATCTGCACCACGGCCCACAGACGATTCCGTGGGACGGTGTGCTGCGCACCAGTCACCACATGACGGCGTTCACCTGTGTGCTGCACAACTTTCTGTGAGGTCAGGAGATCGACACTGACGGCCCCGGACGGTGTGCTCTGATTGCGCCGAGTGTGACTGTACTCCTCGTGTCCGGGCCTTGATGCCAATACCGCACGCGAGGCGGCGCGCGTCCGCCAAGCCCTCACATACTGCGTCCAAGGTGCAGGTGGTGTTCGGTGACAGTGAGCAGCTTCTGCCGGCCCCGTGGACGGCACCGCGTGTGACCATGGCATGTGCATTCGATTTTCTGACATAAGTGCAGTGAATTCATTTGTCATTTTGCTTCTGAATGCTGTCGCCGCTCGGTAGGGTCGATTCTGCCAGAGTAAAGAGGTCGCCACGATCGGCGCCGGTGGGCAAGGAGCAAGGCACTCAGCAATCAGCTGCCGGGAGGTGGCGGCGGCGGCGGCTGACGACTCGGGCCTCGAAAATCCTGTCGTGTGCGTTGCTGGCTATTATGCGTTGTTGGTGTGCGCTGTTTTGCAAGGCCTTTGGAGCGGCATGTCGAGTTTTGAGTTTTGGACGAAGGAGCCTTGGTGTTTTGTTGGTCTATTTTCGATAAAAACGGTCATGAAGAGTGAGCTGTGTCCAGGCTGATTTTTAAGATTTCTGTCACAGTATTGTCACCTTTGACCTAGGCTTGTCTCTTCTTGGGTATCGGCATATTGTGCCACCGTCCTTGCCCCGTGTCCGCGCGTGCTGCATTTTTATGTGGTCGCGCGTATGGTGTCATATACTGTCACCTCGCCATGTTTAGTGATATCCACTGTGTGGAAAAATGCATTTTGTTATAAGGGGGGGGGGGGTACACTTGTGTTCCCCAATCCAGCGCTTTAGATAATACAGCATCTGTTTTTGACATAATGAAAGCCTGTGTTTTATGTGGGTGGTAGGCTTCGCCGTTCCTCAGGTCCGTTTCTGGCATTTGAATTTCTGCTACATTCTAGAATGCCTTTTTTCTGTTTTTCACATACAAAGCACGGTTTCAAATGTGTGACCACAAATCACTGTGATTGTCCCATGCTTACCACCAACCATTCCTTCAATGCTAATGTCGTTACAGCGAAGTTATTCATTTATTGAGAACAGGGTTGTAGTTGAATAAACAAGACAGGTGAGCAAAATCTGCAGCACACGTAGTCTTGGCTGATGCGTTAGGAAAAATGGAGGAACTGCAAGTACATATCACTTTTCAGTTTTATGCTTGAGTGCATTGAATTCCAATGTAGAAGAATCGCAGTTTGATTGTATTTTCATTGATATTATGTATTGTTTCAATAATAGATCTAATAAATATTATTCCAATATTACCTAGACGGTAGTTATCATCCTGCAAAACATGTCCAAATATTTAGTACCTTGAATAATGCAGTAAAATAAGCTGCGCCGCTGCATGTATCAGCAGCGCAATATCTGGTGCCAACTCAAGGTCAAGCGGGTCACGTGACAGTTGAGCGGCGGCTGGCTAGAACAGTCGCCGCGACTTCAAAATGTTGGAAAAAATTGAACTTTCTCGGCAACGCCGACAACTCTTCAATGATTGGCTGACACGACTGCTACGTCACACCCCGGCGACTGGTCAGCTGATATCGACAACTGCGGAGTTGCCGGCGACTGACCCCGGTCGCTGGCGATCGCCGGCGACTGACCCCGGTCGCTGGCGATCGCCGGCGACAGTTGCCGTCGCCGGCGACCGGAAAAGTTGCTACGTGTGAAAGGGCCATATGTTTAACCGATTGGCGGCGTTAATATTTCATTTTGGTAACAGGCATTGCACCTTATCTTCAGATATAATTAGACCACGAGCAACGTAAACGCAGATTCATAGAACAAAGCTTTTGTGCGATGAATCAATGCTACACAGCCTTGTTGTTATGTAAGGAGTGGATGCTATGACGTCAGCAAAAAGGATGATTGAGCACATTTGAAGTGTGAGACAGTTGAATGTCATTGGAACTTTGGATAGCTTTAGAAACATGACTGAACATTTTCGTGCGTTACTCTATCCCCTGATCGTCACGTTTGCGCCTTTCACGGCCAAAACGTTAAGTTGGACGTTCCATTCGAAGAATAATCATCGGGCCCGTGAGAGCCATTTGACCAAAGTTAAGCCTGCCGTGAACGATTCTCCGCTGGAGGAGATCTCATTAAATCTGTTAAATCTCGTTGGACTCGGTGACTTCCATCATCCAGCGACTGGCGAGTGTTGAGTTAGCTCTATTGGCACGGCGCAGCATGGCTCGTATATCAGAGCTGGGTGTTGGCGGTGTGGGTACGGGGAGGGAAGGCACCAGCGGGATCACTCAATCAAGAACCGCAGGTAGCGTGATGGGTTCAGAGCAGGCAGGGTAAATTGCAGTGTAAACTGGAAAATCTCTTAAAAATAGAGAGAGAAATAATGTTCGAAAATCCGCCAGCCCGGCGGTGTCACCTGGCTCCCGGCAGAGGACCGCACCCGCCACTCGCCTCGCCCTCTACCTTGTTGGTGTCAATGCCCTTGGTCATGGCCCACGTGCTGACGACGTAATCCATGACGCGTTCCGAGAGCGCCTTGGGCACCTCGTGCAGCTTCATGAACTCGCGCACGTTGTTGAGCATGTCGTGGTACTTGGCCGTGGCCGAGGTCATCTGCTGGATGATGGTCGTCACGTGACCGAAGATGGTGGCGTACAGAAGCGCTGCAATAGGAGGGAGGGGAACGTTACATGGAGTCACGTGGGATCCAGATGCGATATCAGGCTATAGGACAGCGTGTGAAATAGCGGTGGATTGGAGCAATACTGTAACTAACGCGTGGACCTGTGAACCCTGCCTAATGGCCAGATACCAGAAGTCAGCACTCGAGGACGTTAAGACCACCGCAGAAGACTTCGAAGACTAGGTACAAACATATCTGTAACTGATGAAAGATGGCGACTGCATTCAGTGTTAGAGCAGCAATCCTCTCATCCCGCGATGCTGAGACAGCACCATTGTGTACAAAGCTGCCCGAACTTGAGACTTAGGATTATTTCCACATTATTTTGCCGCAGAGCCAAAAATGGGGCTTGGATAAAGCAAGCCAATTGGGCAAAGCTTTCTCGGCGACTCTTGGAGAAAATGAGACCGGAGTGGACTATTGTTTTCCCCGCACCAGAATTGGAGAAGAAGGGTTTGGATGAAAATAGATCAAATTGCTTCGCAGACTTCAGTTTTGAGGTAGCATTGATATGTAGGAATAAAAAGATCACAGGTAGAAACTTCGCTATTTGAATGCACATTGTTCTTAAAGGCTAACAGCTTGGTTCGTAATAGCCGTTTTCACGACGGCCATCTGGTACACATTTGGTGCACATCTGGTGCAGATTAGATGCAGATTTGGTCAAATTAGGTTCAGTGTGTCTCTTCGTAGCTACTAACTAGGGTTACATTAATTGTTTATATGCCTGCTTTGTCATATTATCGTAGAGTATCGTCGATTAAAACACTGAAATAAATACATAAATAAAATATTTGCTGTAATAGAGATTAGGTGCAGATTGGGTCAAATTAAGTGCACTCGCCGGATAGCCCGTCGTGAAAACGGCTCATGAATGTCAACAATTAAGTGATGTTCGTAACATTTAATATTACTGAAAATAAAGCAATGCAATGAAAGCCCGTAATTTCCTTGGTGAGACACGCCCGCTCGGGCCGGGACACTGCATTTTTCGACACGGCCCAGAAAAGTTTTAGTCTACGACAGAGGATAAACAAGCAAGCCAAGCCATTTCACGGCTGCTGAGGCTAAGTACTCGGAAAAGTTATTTAAATGGTGACTTCTTAGTTCTTTAAAACGAAACAAAGGTAGCTGGAAAAAAGACTTACACCTAAACCAAAACCCTTTCGCTTTGCATGTAGGTATGAATCAATTTGGCTGGCTTCCCAGTAAACGAACCTGTAAACAGCTCTAGGATAACCACGCAAACAATCTACCAACCACACAAAAACGTTTGTGACCTGTTACGAGTCTACGACGGCGATTCCCTCAAGGTGTCGTGAATGATAATTATCGTGACTGGTTCGACCACCGCAGAGGATATTTGTTTTGATTAGGTCCGGTCCCAGGGCACTTAAAATAATGGTCTGATGTAATTGGATGACGGTCAAACACGCCAAAGTCATTTAAAGTACGCACCGTGGTAAGTTAAAAGCAGACATCTCAAAGATGTTCTGACACCACCTTACTCGTGGGGTGGTGGTGACCGTGGTGGCCCCATCACAGTACATTGGGAGGAGACGGTGGCCTCACGTTGAAAATAGGCATGCTTGAACTGGTGGGGCTAGAAATATTCGCAAACTTGACCTCACGAGAAGCCTAAAGCTTTTTAAGCTTCTCGTTTCATTATCTCTGACAAAAGCGGCGCACCAGCCATAGCCCTTCACTCTCCGCAAAATTATGCGGATTGATTAAATTTGAAGTTTTAAATTTGCAGAATTATGCTATTCTTTGGGTGTTTTGGGTGTTATGCTAAAAAAGTCAGGCTTCTATGTTAGGAACCAGGCACTGAAGTTCCTAAAAATTGATTATTAATCAAAACTTCAACTAGCAGCTTTACATCTATTCACTATCGTCGGGGCCTGAAAAGAAACGTGTCACTTTAGCCCTTCAATTTGTAATTGCGCGAACATTGACTGTAAAAGTGGCTAAAGTAATTCATCAAAACTAAATTAGAAAACATACAAAACCCTGACAACTTGTTCAAAATGCAAGGTTACGTTTATATCTATTTTGTGATATCATTCAAAACCCTCGCCCTGCTAATGACTGACCACCATCTTTAGGTCTCTAACGAGCCGACTTCAGACTTGGTGGCCGTCAGACTCTGACGTCTGACAGCAGAGGCAGGGCCGCCGGCAGTCTGCAGTCATTTGGAGGGCGGCCCTCAACAAAAACCGTCAAACAGTCGCCGGGTAGGGGACGCCGTGGTGCTATTTTTTGCTCGCCAAACCGGGCGCTGGCGGCTGACATGATGTCATTTGTCATTAGGCGCCGAGCAGAAGGGGCGGGGGCGATGGCGGGGCGGAGGTGGGCATCGTTTGTTCCCAGAGGACCAGCATATATATTTCTACTCAGCACTGCTTAGTTTCACATGTTACTGGGTATGTTGCGGGTTGCTGCGGCATTGCAAAAGATATCAACAGCCCAATATTTTTGCGTCCGTTCATTCGTCCCATTTCATTAGCTCTGACAAAAGCGGCGCACCATTTAGCCGCGTGACTGTCCGAAATAGGGTCGCGGCGGTGGTGCGTGCCTCCGGGCGATCGCTCGTGACGACAGCCGCTGTTTTGTGGGCGGAGACGCGCCAAATTTGTCCCCGGCAGCGGCACGGCCACGCCATTATTCTCCTGTGGCTCGGGCGCGCCGCGATGGAAGCAGTGACACCAGTGGTGCGCCAGCACCGAACCTGGTGCGCTCAAAACCATCGCTATAGCGGCCCCTGCCACCCTTGGCGACATGTAGAATGGAGTTGGGTGATTTGTAAGAATAAAGAGCCCAAAGTTTGATGTCTGACTGCCTCTGGACGCTGTTGAAGAGTCGCAACAGACAAAGTTTACTAGCCTTATGACTGAATGAGTGACTGTAACAAGGAAATTTTTTGAAATAGCACCAAGGTGGTTTATTCATAGGATGAAAAATTTCATTCATTTTTCTACTCCAAGCCCAATGAAATAATAAAACCGGAAAATAAAACAATATGAAGGCATCTAAAAAGGAACGAAACATAACTAAAATTTGCATACGCTACTTGCTGGACCTATATAGGAGTACAGATCACGTTCATATTTCAATCCATTTTCCAGTTCTTCCACCGTCTCACAGCCACCTATTGTCCTTTCACCCCTAACTCCACCATGACTCGTCTGCTCACCTGCAATGATCATCATGCAGATGGTGAAGATCTTCTCGTTGTCTGTCTCGGCGGCCACGTTGCCGAAGCCGACGCTGGTCATGCACGTCATGGTGAAGTAGAGAGAGGACACGTACATGGTCTTCCTGGAGGGGCCACGAACCAGCACCGGTGCCATCGTCTCGTTGGACCACACGTACTCGTAGGGTGACTGGGTGACGTTAGCCAGCTTCCACAGCCAGCTGAAAAGGAGTGACGGTGGTGGTGAGGGGATGGTTTGAGGGTCAGGAGGTGTTGAAGGAGAGACAGAGCTAAAAAGTTAAAAAGAGGGAGAGAGAGGGAGAGAGAGAGGGGGAAGAGAGAGAGAGAGAGGAGAAAGAGAGAAAGAGAGAGAGAGAGAGGGAGAGGGAAAGAGAGAGGATAGAAAGAGATAGTACGAAAAAGAGAGAAAGAGATGGACGCACTCTGTCGCCCTCTCAAAGACTCTATCGACTGATAAAACTTTGTCCATTTTCTACACCGAGGCTCCGCAACTTCACTCTATCCTCTTCCCTCGGCCTCTCTCCATTTATCTGGCCGCCATCGTTGGGCGGAATTTTCCGCGCGGCGCGCTGCAGGCAGCTCAGCAGCTCCCCGCCGCGTGTCTGTCAATACCGCCCGTCAAGGGATGCCGATAATCACCGGCGACTTGTCAAAACTGTCGCCGAGCTGCCTGCTTGGCCGTGGATCGCGCGCTACATTATGGGTCCCGCTGGCCCGTTCACCGGGGCCGTGTCAGCGCCACTCTGCGATAAATAATCAAACTAGGACGTCCTATCTGGCCGTCTTCTCCGTAAAACACTTAAGAATACATCGGGCTGACACGAATGACGCCTTATCGTCGGAGGTAATTTATTCAAAGGAAAGAACGTAAATAATTCGAGGCCGTTTTTATGCCGGCGTCAGAGCGTGATTTACTCAGACCGGGGAGCAATGTCATGGTTTGTCGATTTGAAATGCATTGGAAGGCGACATATCACCAGAAATGTCTGGGGCACTTCGACGTTTGCTTTGTTTGCTGCCGTCGATAAGAGCAGTACGACTCTCGCTACATCTGTTGCTACCTATATCAAAGGTCAGATGTAATCAATATATTTTTGTTCGCTGATAGCAGAAAACTTTTTTCAGAAATAAAGAAAATCGAATTTAAGTTCAGTTTCTTATTAAAGCTCAGTTTTATTTTCTTTGATACGAAAGAGGCAATTGCATCTCGTTTCACTTTGTGGTCAATATCCGACACGTTCTCAAAGCTCAAAGCGGGTGTATGATGAAACGATGGCGTTAATTATCCAGCTTTCAATTTGTTTATCGAATTCGAAACAAGGCGGTCACTAAATTGGTATAGCAGTCTGGCCCACAGTCCACGTAAGCCGCTTCCCACCTGTAGTAGTCTCTTCTCCGACGCCTCTCCTCCCATACTCCCACCCCATCCACCTCTGGTGACCCTGCTGTCAGCTCTCCCCTTATCTGACCCTATCGCTCTCCCTTTATCTGAGCCGTAACCTGGCTGTAATCTCCTCTCACCTGTAGGTGACTCCATTATCGGCGTCCGAGAGGCCGATGCTGTACCAGATGCAGGCCAGCCAGTGGGCCACCAGCATGTAAAAGCACAGCAGCAGGATGAGCATGGCGGCGCCGTACTCGAGGTAGCGGTCCAGCTTGCGGACCACGCGGCCCAGCCGCAGCAGACGGACCACCTTCAGCGCGCTGAACAGGCTGCCGATACCCTGGGGGTGGGGAGAGATGGGTCAACGGCTGCCGATACCCTGGGGGTGAGGAGAGATGGGTCAACCGGCTACCGATACCCTGGGGGTGGGGAGAGATGGGTCAACCGGCTGCCGATACACTGAGGGGATAGGAAGGGGAAGGGTTGTGTAAATAGGTTTCCTTTACAGTATGCATTGAGGGAGGGAATGTCAAGGTCAACGGAGGTCGATATACTTAGGAGTGGGTAGGGAAGGGTCATGCAAATAGACAGAGCTGTTAATTATTGAAGGGGAGGCGAAGGTCAAGTCGATATTTGCTTGACACCAGTTGATATGGACGAATTCGACCAGACACTTCATTTCCGGCTTTTGTCTCCCAATGCCATCGCCTTCCGGGGACTCGACTGCTTAGATTTTGGAAGACAATCTGCTTGCGTCACAATATTTCAGCTGTGTTGAGCAGCCACATTTTGGCAACTACCTCAATAGTTCGCAAGATTGTCATTTTTCCCATGTTTTACATACGGCTGTCAAAACCTTTCCGCCATCACGGATGTGCTTGTGTCGAGTTGCTTCATTTCATTCCATACTTGTTTGTCATCACTCCCACACGGCACGGCTGGACAGAAGAACAGTGTTCACTCATCACCATTCACCGACAAGTTTGTGAAACACTCGCAAATTAAAACCATTGTCTTCCAGGTTTATCGTAGCTCAGCCGTTTCCTCCAGCAGAATGGTGTTTACCCACGCCCGAGAATCTCTATCCTCTTCTTCATTGTGTCTCTAAATAATACGTTTCGCGTTCGCCTCTCGCAGGTGCATTAGGCTGATGCGCTAGATGATAAACAGGCGGTTCGGCGCTGGAATTAGCTGCTCCGGCCGAGCTGCTCTGCACTGCTGCAGCCCAGGACGCTGAGTGAGGTCGGTCATTTGTTCGCGGTGGGTGGGCCGTAAACTCTGCATGTCCGCTGACCACGCCGTGAAGTATGGGAGAGCCATTTGCCATAAGAGTGGGGTGGCGTGTCAGCCTGTCAGGGCATGTTTTATGACCGCCTCTGACAGCTCGGACGGCGCGCCGCATATTTGGGAGCAGCACCACGATTTCAGTCAGCTTGGGGTTGAAAATTGCGAAGGTGCCAGATTGTGTTGTTTTGTTCAGATTTTTCCTCGCGTAATGCATATCCAATCCAAGCTAGCGTTTTAAAAAACATATTTAACTGGGCTTTGCGGTAAATTTTAAATACTTACCATACGCTATGCGTATTTTGATCCATGTTTTTTTTTTTACTTATTAGCAGCCTGCGTAATATCTGCTTGCTTTCTTTTTAACCCGCGCCCTGCTGGGGGGGTGTTTGAACACCCCCCCTTGTGGTTTTTCGCGAATATCTCAAAAACGGCGGCGCTCCGCGCCGCCGTTTTTGGTACACCTTATCATGCATCAATTCTACATATGTTGTGAAAATTTCAGACCGAGGTCATTCAAGGTCAGGTCACCAGGTCACTTGAAGTGACCTCACCTCATAAAAAGTTTCAATGTCTGTCATAGCTACACCGAGTGACCGATCGCTTTGAAACTTTCAGCGATTGCTAAGAGCAATAGCATGTACAAAATGTATATCTCAGAATTTTGATATCGATGACCTAAGGTCAGGTCAATTTTGCGACCTCCCCATTATAAGTCAATGGGAGAAAATTGAAATGCGTCTCTTTCGGACGAAAGACATTATAAACACTCCCAAACACTGAATTACAAGTGGTTTAGACACACTGAACATGAAAATGGTGTCCGTGACCCCTGTTTATGCCCTGAGGTCATCTTAGGTCACGAATGGTATCTAACAGTTTTTCGCAAATACCTTTTGATAGAGGCATGCTAGAGCGATGAAAACACCTTAGATGTGTTCAGCTCGACGATACGGATCGACTGATATGCAACATGACCCTTTCCGGTCAGGTCATGACCTTGACCTGAGGTCAAATTTTCAAGTTGACCTTTCAAGGTCAATTTATAGTTCATTCGATGCGTCTTGACGAGAGGAACACGATGCCGGTAAAAGTAAGCTCGTACAAGGCTTGGGTCAAAAGTTATTGCAGAAAAACCGTTTCCGAAAAAATCGGCTATTTTTGCAGTTTTTGCCCCCTGCAGGCAAAACCGTTGACGTTAGGTCAAATCTGAGAGAATTACTCAGAAAGGGCGTTAATAGGGCTATCGAATGCGCTTTTCCGCGGCGCTGTAGCTCTATTGGTTCCCGAGTTATGCGTTGGCTTCTTGGAAATTTTCGATATTCGACCTGGAAATCGGCGAAATTTTGCCTTCAATGACCTCTGGTGACCTGACCTTTGACCTGACCAAAAAATTGACCGAACTGATTTCGTCATTATTTTTGACGCTCTTTCGAACGCCGCCTTCCGCGTATCGCTACGTGGCCCAGGAGCCGAGTTAGAAGGGGGGGGGGGTGTTCAAACACCCCCCCCCCAGCAGGGCGTGGAAATCCAGGACCCCCAGCCGGGCGCGGGTTAAAGGGACTATCCCAGGGGCGTAATCACTCCTAAAAAAATGGGCTGGAAATAACTCCCTCCGGGGGCGGCATTAAATGCCAAGGGAAGGGCGGCACTTATGTTTCGGGAGCCAGAGGTGAGTACTTGAGGGCATTTACAGTGTCGCTGTTGTGTGACAAATTCTTGCGCTTTGTGAAATACGAACAATAATCAGCAATCAACTGACTACACGTTATAAGGGGCAGACGCAGAGAACACGCCACAGCTCTGGTGTTCGAGATATTGGTACTTTATGCGGTAGATATGCATGCGTAAGATGGGTGGTCAGCCCGCTGCTAGCAGTTTGACTTTGCTACTACGCACCGGATTGATAAATGATAGGCACACTCTTCAATAGTTCACTTCATTCAGGTGAGTTCAATTGCAATGGGATCTGACCATTGGCGTCGAAATTGGGGGGGGGGGGCTCAGCGGTCTCTAAGAGCCCTTACCGGCCTCAGGGCCCTTACCGGCCAGTCCCACCTTTAACATGGGGTTTGAGTTGAGACAGCCAAGTTTGCGGCGAGGTTCAGAAACCACTATCTATCTAGGTTGCAACCCCCGCGGCCTCTTGGTGTTAAAGAAATTCGTTCCCTTCGTTTGAAAATGGGCCTTGTGCAAGGCCCTATCTTCAACATGGAGCGACCGTTAGTGTGACGTCACCTCGTTTAGTCATTCTGATTTAAATGGGTTTGTTCGTTGAAAAATCGCTTAAAACTTGGTCTGAACTTTGTAGTGGTGCCTACAGAGTAAAAAGAATCAGCTTTATGACAGTAATGTGGCCTGGGGAAGGAGGTAATTTTGGGCTGTGACGTCACATATTTGAAAGTTTGTGTTTGGAATATGGGAAGCCTAAGATGTTTAATGAAAAATAAATGCCAGAACCGTGTTCCTGGTCATCCAATCTATAAAGTCGGGCACAATTTAACTGGTTTTAACAACATTTTAGAAGGTGGGATAGTCCCTTTAAACATGACATGGTGCTGTTGTGTATTTAAATGCACATGGTGGTTCAATAACAATAGAGTAATTAAACTTTATAGGTATAGGAATGCAGGAGACAACGTAGCCCTTAGCTCCGGAAGCGATTTGTCGTTGGGATAAAAACTAGTCTCAAACGAAATTGGCTAATATCCCCTCGGAAATGGGCACTCATAAGCACCACCCACACAGGCTACACGATAACTTTGACAAGCCGCGGACACGTAGCCCAGCCCATCCTCACTTCTTCGCGCTGAATGTCCACCGCGATTCCGCTCCATGCGGCGCCGGATCAGCCCAGTAACATACAGGAAGGTAGACTGTGCCGCATTACATCTGTATGCTGCGGGATAGTAGCGACCGCCCTCAGCGGCCGCGGTCGAGCGAGATACTGTGAACGCTAATCGCCTACAGGAAATTGGCAGGCCCGACTGGATTCAATCAATCCGCTTCAATCACAGCTGATACTATCGAGCTACGAACTCAGCGTTGAAACCACAAACGTAACTAGTAACTACATTACCTACAAGGTCAGCATAGCCAATGTTGTGGAACTGGAATGATACTCGAACTTTCCCTCCATCTGTTACTCAGCTAGTGATTTAATAAACAAATAGACAAACTAAACATTGCTCCAACTCAAACCTTCCGCACCAATAAATGCGGTCGGTTGATAGCAAATATGTGCCCGGTTCCTCCCTATACCGAGGAAATTCTGGCACATCGATCTCAACCGATGAGAAATTCATGTCTCTTTGTCATTTGCGAACGATGACTTTCATGACTTTTCTGACTCCATTTTGACTAACTGCAGTGCTTATAATACCAGCATGACATGCTTGTAATGTGTAGGTACAACATTAGGTATAATTGGCTCTACCGAGCCTGATTATAGAGAGTCCTAAATGCGCAATGACAGCTCGTCGCCTTACACGGATGCGGGTACTTCTCGCGAGTTTTATCCTGTAGGCAGAAGTTGACGATTCGTTCAGAACAGTTATCAAAGAAATGCATTGCTTATTCGAGCAATCTCAGCAAACGGAGACACGTTTTTCTAACGACGTTATTAGTTAGTATTCAATAATGGGGTTTCCTTGTTCTTGGTTTACGTGTCTGACTTGATGATATTAAATTGATGCATTTTAATATAAACTTTACAATCACCCTTCAAGCTGACCGTTCCCAAGCCACATACACCAAAACGCAGCCTCAGCTGCGCGATGGAGTTAAGCAAAATATCTGGTTTTCCAACACTCTATCAGTAACCCTCTGCTGGACGCTGGGCTGACAACCGTTAAATCTCGCCGCCAATTTCCATCAGTGACTGGCCTGTCGTCATACAGTCGTTTCCAACGGACCCGATCACACGAGTTGTCCTCGGCGACCGGGACATCACGGCACAAATCTCCGGTTCTGGGAGTATCGGGAACGGCAGTTGGCTGTGGCACTATACTCGCTTTCACTGCAGGGTTGTCCGTCTACCCATGCATCATTGTCCAGTACCGATCTTCCTGTAACCCGTAGGGTTGCGTCCATCTCAGGTAATCGCTTTCACCGTCTCCCTTCATGGCTGTGACCGTCCATGATTCGATCATCACTCCCTGTCTCTCCACGGTTTACGCTCAGCACCAGTCATATCTGTCTCCTTCTCCCTGTGGGGTAATGTCAGCCGTCTCCCTGTCTCCCTACAGGGTAATGTCCAATATTAGTCTCCACCGCCGTATTTCTGCAGGGTAATGTCTGTCGTCTCCTTCTCTCCCTTCGGGCTCATGTTCAGTCCAGTTTTGGCCACCGCGCCCCGTCTCTACTCATTCAGTAATGTCCAGTCTCTGGACCAGACGGAACGGCGGAATGGCACTGCCAGGTGGATCAGAGCAGCCTGCTCCGCAGCGCTGAGCCAATTCTCAAATGGAAAACGCCGTGCTGTTCATCACAAAAAGAACTGACATAAAACTGGTCTCAAAGATGAGGGAACACTCATATCCAGCCCGAACTCCGTCGGTGAACGACCATCTGCTTCTATCGGTTCTATCCATTTTCTTCATTCCATTTGAGGACGGGTAATATTTGTGATTGGTGATTGCGCTGCGAGCAGCGGCGGCCGGCGGCCCGAGCTGTCGGCTGGAGGGATATCGACCGATGTCGGCCCGGGAGGAGGACCAACGGCTCGGCAACGGGTCCGGTCCGGAGGCACGGCCCTCACCGAATCAGACCAATTGCCGGAAATCAATTTATCACGGACTGTAACCCTGCAGAATCCGGCCGGCACACTGGCCGGCCTGATATTGTGACAGCCCAGCAAAGCTGATTTCATATGATACTGCCAGCTAGATAATCTAACAAAACTTTTGTCGGCAACATTTTTAGTGTAAGCCCAAGCAAAATTGAATGTCAGATTTGGGACCTTGGTCAAAATTTGAAGTTATCTTCCAGCTTAACCCTCGCCCGTAAACGGCGATCTGCCACCTTCGCCCATGCAGGGGGGGGGGGTTGGTGCGACCCCCCCCCCTTGGCGTTTGAAAACGGAGCGTCGTAGAGCTTAGCGGAAAAGACCAACGGATTGCTCTCGCCGAGATCTCGCGATTGGTGGTATATTTTTTGGTCCTAGGTCAACATTTGACCTACTTTTGACCGGTCAAAGGTCAAATTTTCGGAAAAATAGACTTTTTTCAACTTTCCGCGGCGATTGCGGCAAAACGGTGGGAGATATCGACTTGAAACCTTCACTATCGTGTTCCTTGATCAATTCTCTATCGTTTGGTATGTATTTCGTTTCCCTAGCTCTAAAAATGGCGCGTTGGGAGCGCCGGAAGTCGGCAAGGTCACAGTCGGCGGCAGAAATTCGAAAAATCAAAATTTAAATTTTTGAAATCTGATTGTATTTTTGGATTTGGAAGGTCCATTTGCTCCCTATAGAAGCTAATATTGCTGCATATTCCCATTGAGGTGACAAGAATTAGCAAAATAGTGGTTCGGGCGCTTTTCAAAAATAGTACCGGACGCTGTTCCTCTTGTGACGTCATAGCTCCGTGACCTGACCTGACCCGGTCAAGTTTCTTATACCATATGATAGCCAATACTTGCCCCAACATGCATGGGAAGTTTCATCGCGATCCATCAACCGATGTCCGTACCACCGGCAGGAAACCTCGGGCGTTGGCACTCAGTTTGTGAAAATCCGGCCGGAGGCTGTTCCCTTTGTGACGTCATAACTCCGTGACCTGACATGACCCGGTCAAATTATTTTTATCAAAAGATGCGCAAGGTTTGCCCCATAAGGTACCCAAAATTTGGCGGCGCTGCGCGCCGCCGTTTTTACACTATTTCCGAAAAACCTCAGGGGGGGGTTGCACCAACCCCCCCCCCCCCTACATGGGCGAGGGTTAATATGTAAATAAAAACTTGCGAAACTAAACGAATTATTGTATTTGGGTGACTCAGAAGTGCGCCATGAAGTGGCTATGAGCGGAAGATTTATCGAAGTTTATATTTAAACACGTAATTCATTAAAGCGTTGTCCAGCTAATCATCTTTTATTACGATTGAGCCTTATGTCGGTTAACGTTAGCATAGCCAGGTCCATATCAGCTAATCGCCCCAAAACTACCAGTCGTTCATTTTGTCCATTTGCGCTAATTACTGGACCAATGTTTAGCTATTCAAGGAGCGCTCCTTTGCGTCACCCCGGGTTCCGTCGGGCCCAGTTTAGCGTCCGAGCGTCAGTGCCCACATTTGTCCCCTGCCATCAGCCCGGTCCGTAAATCAGACAGTCGACTGACAGTCCGGCTGAGGTTGGCGTCACTGCTGAGTGGCGGAGGTCAGCCTGTGTCGTCCCTTTCGCGGCACCGTGGGAGATCGGAACAGTATACCACCGAGCTGAGTCAGCTCCGCGAACTATTCCAGCTGCGAGCTTAGTCTCGGCCTCGAGTTATCTCAGCTCCGGGATATCCCGGCTTCGAGCTTCGAGCTGTTTCGGTCCCTAGCGGCCACATCTTGACCTCCGGGAGCGGGCTGCAGCCACAGGTGACCAAGTGACGGCCAGGTATTGCAAGATGAGTCACAGCATCATGCAGTGTGAAACTTTGCATGAGGATGGAGGTCTCATGTCATTATTGGCCATCTCAATATTATGATCGCAAAGAAAGATCAGGGAATACCCGGATTCCTAAATAAAAAGTTCAAGAAGACAGTTTTTTTAAAAAATAATAATCGTAATACCATGTCAGTGTCGTCGGCTTAGCTGAAGTTCAGCTGAACAGAAAATGGTATCAGTCTTAATCTCCGGAAGCTCGTTAGTGAAGCGAAAAAAAAAAACTGTTTTTAAGTGGAACGCAGAAAGTGGAAACACGTGTTTCCGTCTCACAAAGTGCACTGCAGGGCAGGTACTTAGCTACACAGGGATAGATACCTAGTTGAGTCCTCAAATGTTCCGTAGTACTCGGACGACATCATCGGCGAATGTACGCAAGCATCAGTTCCAGAATCCTGGAATCTCACCAGCCTCCGATCGACTGTCATTGAGCTCTATCCATCATTTAGCCGATACAGAACTTCATCATCAAAGTTGATGCTTCTCTCAAACTCGGTTCCATTGAGCGGATTCCCTTGCGGCAACGGACGTCACACACTGGAGGCTAAGTACACACTGGGAGCTCAAAGTTCAGAGGCTTACGCCCAGGCAAGTTCGCTTCTAAATTGAGCTCGTTTATCAGTACTGAAAAATAGATGCGAAGTAACTTAGTTAAAGATAGTAGGCAAGACACGGGGCATGACCTGTGTCTGCTGCAACTACGTTGTACTACTTTACTATACGTACTAAGATGCTACCCGAAATTACTATGTTGTAGTAATCTTGGGCATGACATGCAAACACAGTAACTACCTATTCACCAAAGAATGGCACGCCGTTGCATACTCACGTCCTCATCATGATCGAAGGCGTTGAAGACGTCGTACGGCAGACAGGAGAGCAAGTCGATAATGAACCACGACTTGAGGTAGTTCATTCGGATGATCTTCGGGTCGCTCACCACCTCCCCGCCGGGCCCCACAAATGTCGTGTGAAAGTTGAGCACTATGTCAATGAAGAAGATGACGTCGACGATGGAGTCGACCACCAGCAAGCTGACGTCCTCCGACGTCTTGTTCTTGAAGGCGACGTTGAATGGCACCATGATGGCGGTGTAAAAAGTCAGACACAGAATGGCCCAGTCCCAGATGGCTTTGAAGGCACAGTAGTGAAGCAGGATGTGGGGAGGTGTCTTGGGCGCTTCCTGACGGTACTGCGGCAGCACGTCCGAGTTTAGAGACATCATCTGTCGGAGCACACAGAGGTCCGGTCGGGTCAGTTCGGGTCATTGGGGTCAGGTCAGGTCAGACATCTGTCAGAACTCGGAGAGCTCAGGTCATCTGTTCATCTGTTGTAAGTCAGATGTCATATTTTGGTAGACAATGGACACATTGTCGACACACAATGCCGCACCAATTCTGGTCACTGGTAGCATAGGATTTAGCCTAAAGACTCGACCCAGAGGTAGTGGCATGTAATATAACAATGTCCCTCACTGAGATCGATAACTCGTTAACATTTCAATTTTTGCGAACGGAAAACGGTTTTCGAGTTGAAATAAGGAAATCGGAAAAACTGCATTGGCCGGTGCACAGGAACGTTTCTCAATTTGTGAAGAAGATTGATGTTTTCAGGCGTGCACTTATTGAGGAAGCCCGCTAAACGATCTGTGTCGATAAGCACATAGCGTCGCTGATAGGGCATCCACGTTACGTGCCATCGACATGCCACCGGCGGTGCCACTTTATGGGCCTACTTAGCTGTGGCAGCAAAAGGTGTCCAGAAACAATATTTACACTCCCCACGCCCGGGCGCGCGCGCTGACTGGAATACAACCCAACCGTCAAGAAAACAGGGCCATGATAAGAAGGAGGATGGTGTTGGGAGTTGAAGATCTCATCGATACCATGACGATACCAACGATACAGATGAATGTTTCAACTTGCAAGAATAATAAGATAATTTCCGGTAAGGAATACGGCCTTATACGAAAACCGTATGACCTGGAGTCGTCTATAGGTAATCCTGAAGAAACAACGATGCCGTTTTGAAGGCATCAGCAAACCTCATAAATCAAGTGCTAAGAAATGCAATGACACGCTTCCCGCATCACTTTTTTAATCCCCGTCATTTCCAATCAAAAACATTTCCGCCACACATTTCCCTTAGCCATAAATGCGTTGTTTAACATCGCTCTACGGCACCCAGAAAGTAATCTTGCTAACCAGGACAGGGCGATCCCGTGTGTTAGTCATTTCGGATTCGGCCGAATGTCGGCGGAACTGGGCCACACAGGAGCGTTTACACTAGAGTTCTGCACGGCTGCAATTTTCCACAGCCTAGCCGCCCCGCAGCCGTGGCTCCACAGCCACAGCCGCCCACAGCCGTGGCAAACTGTGGGCAGCCAGCCGTCAGCCGCCCGTGGATACTTTCAATGAAATGCAACCAAATAGTATATAATAAGTTGTTTTTAGTTGAAACATATAGCCAAAAGCACATTGCAATGGGCTATAGATTCTCAAGCTCATGAAGCATCATAGGTTAAGTGGTTGTGTATCTGGCTTTAGGCCGAAGGCCTGAAGCTTGATGCGCAATGCATGTCTACACAAGCCCTTGCAAGGGGTTAAGAAGGATGGGTAGGTAGGTACCTACATCAACAGAAAACATAAACAACGAACCAGAATAGAAGCACTAGCAGTGTAGACATCTAATGCCAAATCCTGAAGCATGGTTGTGGGACAGAACAACAGACCCTGATGCTTTTCATTATCAATGTTAGGTATGGAAAATGAAACTGAAGTTGATGGACTGTCAAACAGTAATTTTCTAGTCAAAACTCTTACTTCTTTCTTACCTTGCATATTTTCTGGGGTGTGATATGCCAGGCTTGAAGCAGCCTTTTGAGCAAGTCTCAAACTAATTTGATATGCAAGGCATCAAAACACTAGTGAGCGTCCAAGAAAGAAAACATTCATCTATTTTGATTTTTCCAAATAATGATCTTCGCTCAAATCCCCAAGGACGTGCGAGCCACAATTGCCTCTTTCAATCAAAAATTTTACTTGAGTTTTTAATGACGTCAATAGCAAAGATGTGGCAATAAATTGTTTTGTGTCACTATAAACAGCCATAAAAATTATATTAAATAAATAATAATGCTATACATTTGAAAACTTGCTCTCAAACAATGATTTGGCATCAAATTTTAACATTTACAGAAGAAGACGTCATTTTATTAGTAAAGTCAACAGCTCGCGTAAGAAATATTGTGTTCAGGGTTTTACCGTCATGTAAATTACGTGTTCAGGGTTTTCACCATCATGTGAATTAACCGTAAGTGAGGTTCATGCTCACTTATAATCTAATTCCATTGGCTTCGTTGATCAGCATTTTCTGTTAGCGGTCACTCACACACCAGTTAGAACATAAAGCGCCAGTTTTATATTATGTAATTGTACTAGCCGAAAATCCAGAAATACATCTAAGAGTTATTTTTGATAATATTTTATGAAGCCTTAACCTGCCTTTACATAGGCGTGATTTCTTTTTCTATTACCTGAAGGAATTATTGAATGCTCATCTTCAATAGCTGTAAGGTGCTCTCCTAATGACCAGGTGAGATTGATTTGAGAGGGATGTGACAATGCAACATGTTGCATTTTCTGAAGCTGTCAAGCTCTTGATGATGAAGGAACAATTGGCACCTATAATTAGTATTCTGTACCAGAGTGCAAACTCCCCTACAGCAAATGGTAAAACCATTACAGGTTTTCAAAGGTTTCACCACTTTCAATGTTGCTGGGCATCCTTTGCATGATTTTTACTGGCTAGACTGCTTATCAGAATGTGAGATTAAGGATTTGAAATTTTATATTTGAGTACTTAAGATTGAGCTTGAAATCTCACAGCCGTGGCCACAGCCGTAGCCGTGTTCTTGGAGATATTTGCAGCCGCCCCGGCCCACAGCCGTGGGGCTGCAGCCAGCCGCGGCTGCAGCCGGCCGGTGCAGACCTCTAGTTTACACCGGGTGGCTCTGTCAACTTGGCGCCCTGCCGGCCCCGCCAAGGAATCGACAGCTCGCTAGTGCTGACAGGGAATGCGATAACAGGAGAGGAAACGGGGAGTGAGGATGAGAGCGGGAGATGTGGTGAGAGTATTGTTAGGGTAAATTGAGAATATGTGACGTGAAGCTGCGAACCCACCTAAATTGGTGAGGGTATGTTGATGGAAAAAATTCAGTGCGTGGGATGCATGGGGGTGTGGTAAGGTTTAGGGTTAGGGGAGCACCACCTCATACGAGCGATTCATCGCGAACTAGAGCCTTCATAATAGAATTGGCGGTAGATTGGCGGTGGAAGCGCAGAGTGGGGTCAATTTCTGATCGCCACCACACTGGCTTGTTTCTATAAAGTGTCCAAGTCATAAAGTCACGACAGAGCGAGAGCCTGTCACGGGTCACGGCAGAGTATGATCGGCCACAGGTCAAAGCCGAGGTCACGGCCACCGCCTTATACCTTGGTCGTAGGGCGTCCGTCCAGACACGCGCCTGCACAGTCTAATCAATGGGCCGGCAGCGGTGGCTGCCTAAATAGCTCTCCACACCAACAGTCTTCCAGGGCTTGGGCAGCGATTGTAACTGATTGAATTTGGAAGCATAAGCGGCTAGTGAAATAATAAATCATCGGTGGGTTATTGAGATAAATTTCATTTATTTTATCTTGTAGCCAAGTTGAACGATTTATATAAGGTTTGATCAATCATAATCACGTTTCTAATTAATTAGATTTCGTCTTACGATCGAACCGTTAGCTTATATAACTCAATTACTGAGAGCGTTCAGCTGACCCGATTGGGCTTCTGCACACACCAACTCGAACAGATGTGGCCGTTTTTCGCTAAAAGCAGTCGTTAAAAGCCAATGTATGTACGGCGCCGGTCTATAGCTGTAAGTCTGAGCAGAAAACCTTGTCGAATGTGTACCGAAGTCGCAACCAAGCGCGTGACTGGAAAACGTAAAGTGGGTCTGAATTAACATTTCATTCTGACAAACTACTGGGTGAATTGGATATTGATGTTTTGAGCTACTACAGATTGTGTTCACCGGCCGATCACATTTTTACGGCCCATGTCGGAAATACCAACGAACATACTTTTGATGAAGGTTGGTAAGGTCATACCGGTCATACCTACTGTATAGCATTAAATAAATCGATGCTACCAATTATGTTCCACAAAAAGTAGCATCACTATCTTTATACATGTCGTGCGATACAGCTTAAACATGCCTTGATAAGACATTCATTATGCTAAGGCTGTTGGAGGGTTTAAGTCACTTTCAATACCTATCTTGTTATTCTACAGAATCCTTCAGATTAAATCATCAATGCATTTTGTGCCTTGGCGCTGAGCATTGATCGCATAGATGTTCAAAATTTGTAACGTCCGTTGATGGGTCGAAAACATCCACTGCAGCATTCAGCAAGAGATGTTTTGCTAGCAACAGATGTCTGACTTGTCGGCATTTTCAGATATATGGAGATGAAGTATTGAGAGAGGTCGACACCCAACGGAACTGAGCTAGAGCTTTAGGTCAGTGACACATCGGGTGTTGTTGAATTCGTTTAAAGAATATCATCTCTAACTCATCTACAGGCAATCTCCTACGTAGCCAAGTGTGAAATGTCGCTCGTTAGTTGCGGCATCTTACTACCAGAGTTTCCGCATGGGTGCAGTTTCGCCACAAGTTTAACTTGCCGGCTCCTGTAATCATTACCGTGCGCTGGAAATTGGTGGCCAGAGCTGCGACAGGGACGCATAACCTATGTATACGGCAGGGTATTTGATGACCGTGTGTTTTCTCAACCTTTCATGATGAGACACCACTGCAAAGAGCTCGCTGTCTAATTAACGTGATGCATTAGGGAAGCTTTTGGCCGCCGATTGTGTCTTTCAAACTTACGAGTCCGATGTTGGACTGAATGTATTTCTAACTCACGTGTCCGATGTTAGACTGTATGTATTTCTAACTCACGTGTCCGCTTTTGGACTGACTTCACGTGTCCGATGTTGCACGGTGTTTTGCTTATTCATGTATCCGATATTGGACTGTGCATTTCTTACTCATGTATCCGATGTTGGACTGTATGGATAATCTTAACTCAGGTGTCTGATGTTGGACAATGGACTGTATTGATTATTTCAAACTCACGTGTCCGATGTTGGACTGTTTGCCGTTCTCCTTGATCCCGGTCATGTTGGAGGCGAACTGGGAGGCCAGCACGGTCCGAGACCGGGTCACCGAGCGGGCCAGCTTGGCGAACTTGGACAGACCTGCTGGGAGAGACAGGGACCGGGTCTCTTTGCGCTTCTCCTAACTACAGGGTGTCCAGAAAAAACGGATACTATTATTTTTTGCTGTAATTCCGAAAATAAACACCTTACATTTTAAAATGGCACATGCTTGTATTCGCCAAAATATGGCAAAACAGACAGCAGGTGCCACATGGCATGTAAACTCTTTGGTTAGTTGCGGCAGCTCCTCAAAGCAGATACTCAATGTGAGCGGCCTTACGGCGGATCAGCTCCAGCACTAGCACAGTCTGCAGGTGACTGATGGTCTTGTTGACAATCTCGGAGGGCAGGCAGACAACTTTCCAACGACGCATTACAGTGCTTATGAGTTTTGCCAAATCTTGCACTACAAGCACATGAGTTTGGAACAAAATCGGCACGTGCGTTAATGAATGCGACTTAATTTCCGTAGTATCTTTTTTTCTGGACACCCTGTATCATCACTATCCTTTTTTGTGAAGGTTTTATACAAGAGAAGATATTACGAAAACAATAATATGATGATTATCTACAGCCGGCATCATTTCAGTGAAATCTCCCAAAAATATCGCGATGCCCTTCCCACTCACTGGGCAAATTTGCCAGCAGGCGAATGACCTGTTCACCAACGATTTACATACTGCAGTTATGTTTGCTGATAGTTATATCGCGTACAGCGCAGCATCTCACCCCGGGTGTCGTCCACCTCGATGGGCTGTTTGAGCGCCGTGATGTCTCGCAGGGTGAGAAGGAACAACACAACCACCTCCTTCTCGTTCCGGATCGGGGCCAGGTGCAGCAACAGCCATAGCGGCGTCCCTGAAAAAGGATGTACCGATGTGATTTACTGTCCACGAAATTACCAGTACTGACGGATGTCATGTGTTTTTATGATTAAATTTGACATATGAATTACATTTGTTAAGAGATTGACTGATTTTGAACTGAGTACTCTGGAGAGTTGCAAACTGGTGAAACCGGTGAAACTCGACAGTCGTATTGATTTGATTTCAAATTGAATTAATTGCATATGCCGACACTCTATATTCAAGTGAGCGACACTGGTCTCTGCACAAATTACACACGATTGAACAGCTACCTCACGAGAGATACGGTTAACACAAACATGCCTACACGCCCGTAATAAAACACGCCCGCGTAACTTGTAAGTACAAGCGAATCAGTAAAGGATAGGTGTGTGACCCACTGTTTTTCTTGTAGATGAGTATCTCGATCTGGTCGAGAGTTTGCTGCTCGAGGCTCTGTTCCAGCCGCGTGATGGTCTCCTTGTCGGTTAGGTCGCCGTACATGAAGCTGCACCGGCACGATTTCTGCATCACCTGCAGATACAAAGGTGCCCCGGTGAGACGAAGTCATACAACAGGCTGCAGTTTAAGTCACAGAGAGACCGCAAGAGGTAGGTCGGGGTCGCAAAAGGACTGCGATGAGTCGAATTCACAGGCAGTCCACCAGGGCTGAGTTGAGGTCACTTTCAACACTATTGACATGAGTGACTTAACCCTCGCCGGACCTATTGGTTTTCTACATACGCGCCGGCCGAGGGGGGGGGGGGGCGGGTACGACCCCCCCTCGCCGTTTCGCCCCTGGTGGAGCTAGCGCGTCGCAGAAAAAACGAGCGTGTGCGCCGTTACGAGACGCAGAGATTGGTACCCGATTTTAAGGTCCTAGGTCAACCGGTGACCTCTGAGGTCAGGTCAAGTGCCCCAAGGTACGGTTCAGTTTTTGGTGAATAACTTCGCACAAAATGGCCGCAGAGCCGCGATTTTGGCAGCATCGTGTTTGCCTCGCTCAGGCGCGTCGAATGATATACTTTTTGTTCGGGTCAGGTCAACTTGGGGTGTTGACCTCAGGTCAAGGTCAGGTCAGCACCCTAAGGTCACGAAGTTGGTCGAAAGGGGTCATGTCGCATATCATTCGATTCGGCAGGTCTTCTTGAGTCCATTGGTGACTTTCCCGACTCGCTAGCTCAATTTGATCAAGAGTTATTGACGAAAAACTAATATGACCTTGATGACGTCATAAATGACGTCACGCAAGGTCAACATTGCAAAAGTGACGCATCTAACCTTGCAAGGAGTGCATCAAATCACGATTCTGTGTGCTTGAGATAGTTGGAGATCGTTCCCGGCGCCAGAATAGCAGTTTGAATTTTTCCTCATTGACTTATAATGGTGAGGTCACGAAAATGACCTGACCTCATATGACCTTTAGGAAAAATCCGAGATATACAAGTTGTGAGACTCATAATGGATACTAGATCCTGCAAGTTTCATTTCCCTGTGACATCTCCTCTGGCAGTGAGGGCGTTGCGTAGTTGCGACATCTGTAGACCGTGCAGAGGTTCACTTATGACGTCATAGGTCAGCGACCTGACCTGACCCAAAAATGCGGTTGGTGTCAAAAGATGCGGCTTGGATCAAAGGTCAGGTATGCCAAGTTTCAGCTCTCTATCGCCAGCGTGTTCGGAGCTATCGCGAAAAAACCCTATGGGGGGGCGGCACCCGCCCCCCCCCCCTCGGCCGGCGAGGGTTAACTGAAAGTAACGAACCTTTGAAACTTTATCATAAAACTATTTTAGAACTCCATACAAAGAACGTAACATAAAAGTGGGCTATGAATAGCATGTTCTAGACGCAACAGGCATCTTAATGTTTCATTCATAGTATTAAAAATGTTATTAATTCTAGAGCATTCTTTGAGCGCTTTCATGTCATCCCGAATAGAGTAATTCCAGAAACTCCGCCTCACAGCGTTTCACTGCGGCTATCCGGCGAGACGTTTACTTTCAGCGGGTTTATAACTGAAACTTTATTGATCATAAACTGGTGAACTTGCTTCTTTACGGCTGGGGATCGCGTCAGAGGTTAGTGAATGTCACCAACAGCAGCCGAAGACGTGGCAGGGATGGCTGTTTGCGCCTCGGGTGCTAATTTTGAGCGTTATCTAGCGGGCAGCTTTTCTATATGATAGAAGTAACTATTATCTAAATGGACGTCACATGTCATTGCCGGCTTTAACTTTAAGTATTCAGGAGGATGGAGCTGGGTGAAACTACGAGTATCATCTAAACAAACAATTAGCTCGCCTGTTGCAATACCAGTGCGCTTTCCAGCTCTCTGTCAGCAGAAAGATGAGGGAATGTATTGATACCATCGTCGTATCACGTGATAATGGAGTGTATCATGTTGAAAATGTTATCGTATGTTATCCACGTTATATCTATGTTATTCATATCGTATGCTTCTCATCATCACGTAAAAGGCATCTGTAGAGACGTTTATAAAGTCACTCTCCTCTCTCTCTCTCTCTCTCTCTCTCTCTCTCTCTCTCTCTCTCTCTCTCTCTCTCTCTCTCTCTCTCTCTCTCTCTCTCTCTCTCTCTCTCTCTCTCGCTGGAGTCTCGCTAAAAAATAATCAAAGATCAGGGTGAAACGAGAGAGGGCCGACAGTCGTCCACAGCCCGCTGCGCCCAGCCGTCGACACAATAAAACTCTTCATTAGATTGCAACTTATGATTGCGACTTCATTAGAAGTTAACTTTTATGACTTCAAAACTTTCCCGCCGTGGGCACTGGGTCAGGTTTCTTCCGAAGCACGATTTTAACTTATGCACTTCTTGAAGCGTCCGGAGCGGGGGTCATACTTCATTACAAGGGAGTAAAAAAACAGCGAAAAATGACAAAAAAAAAAGAGCAATTGAGCATTCGAATTATTTGCCGAACTATTATTTTGATCATTTCGCCGAGCTTCTCTTACTCCCGTGACAGCGCAACAAGGCGAACACATCGGCACGACTCGCGGGTGCGGGATATGCGTGCGCCCTCCGCCAGAGATGTAGATGAGGCTGCTAAATCCGGACGCGATGTAAAGTCGGCGCCGCTCGTGGGCGGGAAACAATCCCACCCACGCCGTGGGGGGGAGGGGGGAGGCAGGGGGCGATGGAGGCTGACGAAATGGCTGACGTGATATCCTCCTGCCGGCACCAGGACTTACGGAGCGTAAATGCGATTTACTAATTAATGGCGTAGGTAGTTTGACCAACATGCATGGTTGACTCATGCAACGACCGTTTATGGTTAATTCAATCCAATTTTCTGGGACATTATGGAGTTCATTTTACACGGAACTGACGTTAATTATTTAAGTACACGAGCTGTAGACGTCACGGCGTATTGATCTGAGGGGTGTCTGTCAAACTGAGGCAGCAAAACACCAACTGGCACCAACAGCTCCACAATGTCAAGGACTTTCAGACCTCATGGTGTGCCGACACCTTCCTGTGTGATTCTGAACGTATCATTACTTCCAAAAATGAAATGCACGTTACCGTTCCAAATTTAAAACCATGGACTCATTCACAATTGGTGTCCGACACCTAGGCACATCAAATAAAGGAACTGATGATATTTGGCCTCGGATTATCGGGCTCAGATTGCTTAGCAAATACCCCGTTTCTTTTGCCTTTCCACTATTTTTTCTCTCTCTCTCCTTCTCTCTCCCTCTCCCCTTCTATCTTGTGTAGCTCTGATTTCCTTGCTTCTCCATTCCTCTGTTACTTGATTCCGTCCCTCCGCTCCGTCATTCGGTCTCATGTCTCCGTAATCTGATCTGTGCCCACACCGCCATGTCTCCAATCATCTCTGCATGCGTCTGTCCCGTCTCCGTCCCGTCTCCGTGGCTATAATCGACCATCTCCATGACCAGATCACCGCACGGGCGGCAGCCGGACATCCCATGAGACCTCAGAGGTCAGCCTGCAGGATGTCTGTCCCCTGAGGTCGCTATGGACAGCCAGCCTGGAGCCTTCTGCGCCTGTACACTCGGCTCGGGTGGCCGCGATGGGGGGGGGGGGGGGCGGAGTACGGGGGCGAACGTGATCTCGTCCGGCGTCGCTGCGCTCAGGTCCCCGCGGAGCTCCCGTAATAGCCGGTAAGATCGGCGCCGCGGCTGGAAATAGATCCGGCATCCGCGTCTGACCGGACTGGTCACGGCTGTGCGGACACGAGCCGTGCCGTGCCATTGTGCGGGTGGACGGACTTGGACACACGCCCTCCTGTCGTCAGAATCCGGGCGTGGGCAGGGTTTTTGTGCCGTTGTGGACGATGACATATTGGGTTAGCTGGGCATCACAAAGGCTGATTGAATGACTTGCTTTCATTTCCTTGAATAGTAATGTCTCGTACGATAACAGTACGGTATTTTGTGATGAATCTTTTGATCATCCACAGAAGTGTGACATCAACAGTCAAATAGGATTTATCCAAAAATTACATTTACAAAAACAATACAAACAGGATTAAGCAACTACAGCAGGAATAAGAGATCACCCCAGAAATATCCAAATCAGCCAGCATTCCAATGTCATCCGACCGTTTGCAACCAACGCCGACACCATTTCCTGCGAAATACCGATCGTCATTCCTGCGAAAACACGATTGGATTCCGGTCTGTAGTCGGCTGACGTGGCAGCGTCGGAATGGTGCCCCACCCGACCTCACTGTCTCCCGGAGTCCCCTGACGCGGAAAACCAGCTCATCGGCCGGCACCAGCGCGTGGCGCGTGACGACAGCGCCGTCATTTATCTGCGAGACGGCCGCGGAACAATCGCCAGCCCGTCGACCTCGACCAGACGTCGGTGACGACGGCGACGGCAGAGGTGGTGGGTGGCTCAGCGGGGTAGCAACGTGGGGTCGTCGGAAGGATCGACAAGGCAGCGACAGCGGCGACAGCTCGACATAACTGTTTGGTGGGTGTTTCCAGGACGATGGGAGAGGAGGGTGGATAGTTTCTACGATTGTCAGATTCACGTGATGGAGAGGAGCACTGTTCGCCGGTTCAGCGGCGACCAACACACCGACTATTTCCAGCTGGCGAAGTCCAGACAGAGCCGGCTAGCAACGCTTACTAACTAGGAGCCTATTAGTACTGAAAGGTGCTTTCAGCACTAATAGTACTTTCAGTACTATTCAGGTACTTTCAGTACTACTTGCACAGCCATTCTTTCATCAAAAGAATTAGATAAAAATGGAGCAGGCCAGACAAGCAAAACAGATGTTTGCTCTGAAATCGGGAAGACTTACCTCTGCTCTATTGAAGCCAGACATCTTGCAAAACGTCTCGTTGCAGTAGACGATTGGAAAATCGACGATCTGAGCATTGGCGAGCAAAAAACTGCTGTCCGCTGGAAAGAGAGGATCGCGTCAGGCTAAATGGTGATCCAAAGCGACAGGAGGTCACACTTTACAAGTTACACGACACAACCTACATGCTTAGAAACTTCATGACCGAACTACGTCTAATCTAATGAGATTGAAAAACGCAGTTGATAAAAATAATGCATTATGATGCATGATGCAACGGCACTGCGCAGATGTCCAGTGTGCGATGTAGATTGTTTCAGATGTTTATCTCAAGTACATACATCTCCAGAAGGAAGAATAGTCTGCATTTTTGTATCTCTTTCACGTAAATAAGTTCAAAAGGCGAACAGCAATGGATGAGCCTCAATGGATAACCTCATCAAGTAATGATGCTGTTGAATATGCTTATGCCTAATTATATAAACAGCGCATTAGCTAAACGTCGTAGTGGCCATCGGCTAAGATCCGTAGTCCTTCTTACGGTTAAGTAAATATTCTACAGAATGCGTTAGATGGCCCTTCAATGCTTATGCCTACTTATATAAACAGCGCATTAGCTTAACGTCGTAGTGGCCATCAGCTAAGATCCGCAGTCCTTCTTACGGTTAAGTATTCCACAGAATGCGTTAGATGGTCTTCAAAGGCTGCTTTGCATTGAACGGTAGATACGAGTAAGTGGTTTCAAAGTTGATTGACTTAATGGCAGCTACGGAGATAATACAAATTGCATTAGAAGCTGGCTAAGCAGTCCGAAAAGGCTAAAAAGTGGGCAGAAAGCGAAACACAGGGATGACATGGTAATTTGGGTGCGCGCGAAATCATGGACTGTGGTAAAATGTGTATCGAATCCATTTCTAGGACCCTAACCGTTTGGCCATGAGCCTGGCGTGATAGCCTTTTCATTTGACTTAAGCGTACTTCGTCATATTGTGATGAGACCACTTACTCACTGAATAATTTCAGTTTGTCTTTAGGAACCTGGCAGCTCTACATGGTTTAATTATTCCAAATTTAGTAAATAATTGGCGACGGAGAGCCTCTACCAAGAGAACAATCAGCAAGAAACCACCATACAGTGCTGTCCCAGGTTCACAGGTCCACTACGTCTGCTCCCCTGGTGACGTCAGATTTGCGGCAGACGTGGCGCAGTGCGCCGCCGAATGCCACCATCGCGTCGTGTTTATCTGCGGGCGGATTTCCCTGTGGACTGGCGAGCCGAGAGGGAATCGACCGGCCCTGCTCCGGTCTGTGGGAGCCCCGACCGGCGCGGTGGGGTCGCCCCCCGAGGGAGACGGCCGTGTGAGGTGAATCACTAAATCAGTGCCGTAACGCACACGCAGACCCTGGGGTGATGGTGGGTGGTAAAAGCAGGCGCCCGCGGGCGGTTTCAGACTCCATCTTGAAATCCATGCCCTCGTTGTGATCAACGAAGGCAGATTTCTGAATGGAGTCTGAAACCGCCCGAGGGCACCTGCTTTTACCGTCCGTCGTGGTGATGGACCATTGCCGACGGTCGATAGAACTAGAAGGCCCTAGCATCTTCCTCGCAGGCCGAACGTGGCATTGTCAAAGGGTACTAAATTTTAAATTGCATTGATTGCATTCGATGCAATACACCGATTGCATTGACAACACAGCATGCAAAATGGATATTGTAACTCTTATGTGTAATCTTGTAAGGGGTGGTTATACGTAAATGAACATTCAAGGAAAATGATAGGCATTCGGTACACCTCATTTCTGCGCAGGCTGACAGCTGAGTCTTGGAATGCCCGCCATTAAATTTGCTGTCAGATAGTAGGAAGGCTGTTGATTATTTCTGCACCTAATAGCGATCCAACAAGCCACCATTTTCCGCAGGTAATGACTTTCCGTCATGCACGCTATATGGTAAGGTAGACTAATTGGATACACGATAAAAAGTTGTCGTAAGACTGACACACTTGGGTCGTATTGCGTGCGTAGGTTAAAAGGCAGTTGATCTATTTGATGTTTTTTTCAGAAAAAAAGCTCAAAACCTCATCTGGACCTAATATTGCAATTCTGGGGGAAAATGTGAAACAATAGCGAGACTTTTATGAGCTTGTACGTAGCAGGATATTGTAGAACATTGCCAACTTAACTTCTCATATGGTAAATTATGCAGCATATTGCATGAAATTTACTTATCAACATATTAACTTAAGTTAACATATTACCTTATGTATGTACATTGGTACTTAGTAGGTATTGGGTCTGCAATATCGATATCCACAAAAATGTCACCATGTTCGTAGGTTTGGCTCAGCAAAACCTACGAAAAAGAAAAAAAAACTTGAAAGCCAAGTGAAGAACCACAATACTTGCTACAGCAAAACAAGCTGTCTTATGACAATGGTCACTCCTCTGTGTGATAGTGCCTCTTGTTGCGATGATGGCAGTCATTCGACGAGGTGATGGTGCCCATTTTGCCAAACACCTTCAATTAAGGGGGGGGGGGCACTGCTGACTATTGGTCCCATTCTTTCCATGCAACGCCCATGGGGCTAATGTTAAAAAGCCAAAATCAGAGGGGGGCACGGTGCCCCTGTGCCCTCCCTGTTCCGCCGCCTATGCATTTTGCGGCGTTTTCTGTGACAGTGTTGCCGGGCATCGTGGTCGCTCCGATAACGGGACGTCTCGGGCTCTCGTTTCAGCCGAATGTTTGTCTCAGTGATAACAAGACTGAGCTGTGTTTGCATAACAAAGCCAGCCGACTGGCAGCTCGCATCTACGCATTTCTTTTCCGCAGCACTGCAGAACGATTGTGTTGTCGTGGCGGTTGAGTTCTGCTGGAAGCCTTTTCGGTCCGTAATATGAAGCACTTCTACTGGAGCTATAAGGCTCAGGTCACTTACAGAATATTAAATGCTTTTTACGCTCTTTTTGTTCGCAAAGGAAAACCGATTATATTTGATTATTTATTTACTTACAGATTTGTTATTAACCCGCGCACCGACGGGGGGGGGGGGCGGATATCCGCCCCCCCCCTGAGGTTTTTCGCGAATGTTTGCGAAATTTGGTATGACTATAACCTCATCAATTTTACACATGGTGTGCAAGTTTGAACCTCCTACCTTTAAAGGTCATGTCACCAGGTCATTTTGAATGACCCAACCTCAAGTCACTTTTTTGCAACTTTGTCACCGTGCCAGAGCTACAGTAGATGTCGGAGGCCTTTGAAAGTCGCAGGATATTATTAGGTCATTAGTAGCTACAATTTGTATATCTCGGAATTTTGATATCGGTGACCTAAGGTCAGGTCAATTTCGCGACCTCCCCATTATAAGTCAATGGGGGAAAAATCAACTCCCTGTTTTTACCACTAAAACGGGTCGGAATGGCCCCATATACCATACATGACTTCATATACGATCAACCTTCACTACGTTGAGGTCTGTTTTGCTGTTGGGCAGCTGTGAGGTCATGTGACGTCATCAAAGGTCACCAAAGGTTTTTGGCCAATAACTCCGTACAGGAACAAGATACAGACGCGTGGATGATCTCATTGTGTTCAGCTCGTCAAGACGCATCGAATGGTATACATGATGACCTCGAGGTCACGTGATCTGAGGTCAACCTTTGACCTTGACCTTTCGAGGTCAACATATATATCATTCGATGCGGATTGACAAGAGGATCACGATGATGCCCTTAGTTTGTTCCTATCTTGACTAATTCGAAAGTTATTCGAGAAAAACTCTCTCCATATCTAGCGCCGCCATTTTGACTTTTTCGACCCCTGTGACGTCATCTTTGACCTGACCTGAAAATGACCTTAGTAAAAATTGTAGATCTTGGCCGTGCGTATCCGATGCCGTTTACCGCTTGTCGTTATCTTGCTTCGTTCTCGAGATCTCAGGGGGGGGGCGGTCATCCGCCCCCCCCCCGTCGGTGCGAAGTTGGCGCCCCGTCGGTGCGCGGGTTAAAAGAAATTATGCTATAAAAAAGTATGCGATTTTATTAGAACTTTGATTATATCTAAAGTAACCTCTTCTGCAAATACCTCTAGCAATTTGGTAACATCGGTTCCGATGCTTTTCAGAATTCAGCTGCTATCACAAGCTTAAAATGTTAGGTTTTAAGCCTATAAGCCTATAAGCCTATAAGGTTTTAAGCCTATATTTATATTTTTGAAAACCATTCTAGTAAAACAGCCATTTACAGAAACACCAATCAGAGAAAGGTATAGTTTGACGAAATCCCGCGCACATCTCGGATCCCCGTCGGCCGTCCCCGGATGCCTTATGCCATTTCCGGTGAATGGCCATTCGATCAGCCTGCCGTGCTGATATCGCTGTGCTCTGTGATAGGTTCGTCAGTGACACCCATTCAGTCATCCCACCCGGTCCGACTCATTCGATTTCCCAGCCTGGGGAGAGCCATCAGCAGATGCCTCCTCTCTGACCGACCGGCGTGGCTCGGTCTCTCCTTAGATACCGACCCATTGATAGAGGGTAAAGTCGCGTCGGCATGATTCCATAATAAGAACTGGCATAAGGTATCCGTTCTGATTGCCATTCACCTGTAACAGCGCTGACTGATGTAACCTTTTATGGGAGTTGCTAGTGAATGGTTGAGAAGTTGATGCTTATGGTTCGTAAAATAATGTTTTCTTGCAAGTTACAGGCGGTCTTTTGTCTAGCTTTTAGGGAGGGTGTCTTTTAGGCCTTTTATCGAGGAAATTTCGGTGGGAAGCGCTGGCTTAAAGCTCTCTCGCTCTCTCTCTCTCTCTCTCTCTCTCTCTCTCTCTCTCTCTCTCTCTCTCTCTCTCTCTCTCTCTCTCTCTCTCTCTCTCTCTCTCTCTCTCTCTCTCTCTCTCTCTCTCTCTCTCTCTCTCTCTCTCTCTCTCTCTCTCTCTCTCTCTCTCTCTCTCTCTCTCTCTCTCTCTCTCTCTTCTCTCTCTCTCTCTCTCTCTCTCTCTCTCTCTCTCTCTCTCTCTCTCTCTCTCTCTCTCTCTCTCTCTCTCTCTCAAATTAAACAGAAATTTTACATATGCCTCCGCGTCCATTTGTCCAGCGAATAAAATAATGTATTTATGCACGATTACTTTTGCCGTGTGGGTGGGAATGTTGTACTCAGGACCAGAGGAAGCTAGAATAGGCCATTCGGTGGGATTGTATCAAATTGGGAGGTAGTCCCGGAATTGACTTCGAACCACTGAAGCCTTGTGCGTCGCCTATGCAGGCCGCGCTATTCCTCGCAGTTCATGGTGGAGGTCGGGATACCAGGAATGGTGATAAAGTCTCTGGAGCGTGCAGTCATCATGCATGAATCGTGAAAAAATATTTCCTGAATGCGGACTACGAGCTAGTAGACCTAAGACAAGGCATCATTTAATATGTAACAGATGAAAGGTTAGTTCTTAAAAAGCTGAAACTCTGCTTGAGGCTCATGATGAATAATAATAATATAAGAATAACCAGTAACCTCATAATATAAATCAGAAATAGGAGCCAAAAAGTTATATTTAAAATTATCGAATATTTCACTCCTGGAGCTTCGTCAGCGATAATTACAGAAAAAACGCTTTTCTGTAATTATCGCTGACGAAGCTCCAGGAGCGAAATATTCGATAATTTTTAAAAATAACTTTTTGGCTCCTATTTCTGATTTATATTATGAGGTTACTGGTTATTTTTATATTGTTATGATGAAAGGTTAGTATTGAACTGAAAGGTTCAATTCATTTTCCGTTGATTTCAGTCTTGTTAAGAAAGAACAGTAATCCTGAACAATTTCGCGGTAACAACGTCGATTGGATCACCTCCTCTCTCCATTTTGTCCTCGTACAGATCGACGTTGGAGCGTGACCTCGCCTCAGCCCTCCCCGGCTGGGGCATTTTATCGACACAGACACCTGTACGGCTTCATAGCTGGCCTGCTGCCACGGCCATCGACTGTTGGCTGCCAGAGCTACATAGGCACTGGTCGAAGACGACAATACGACCGAGGGACGACGAACGGTGAAAAACGAATAGACTTATAGGGAAAGTAAGGAATCGAACTTGACAGTGCAAAGTGAAATTTCATAATAATTACGAATGTTTGAATCGACTGACAGAACCATGGTCTTTTATCTGTCCCTGCAATGTGGAGAAATACCCACCAATGTCCAAAGCATGCATGCTTAAAAAAAAAACTTCTAACCTTATAATACGAAAGCCGTGTGTTCCCGTCAATTATTTAGCCTCTTCTCTAGCCATTCATTGCGCAATAAATTTCCAATGAGGCGAAACAGCAGAGCTCAAACTTTAACCCGCGCGGGGCTGGGGGGGGTAAATTTTACCCCCCCTCGCGAATTTTTGCGATATCTCAAAAACGGCGGCGCGTAGCGCCGCCAAACTTTCGGTACCTTTTCTTACATCAATTTGACACGTTCCCTCAAAATTTGAGCGAAATCCGTCGGAAAATTTTTGAGAAATTGACGTTTTAGTGACGTCATGTTCGCCATTTTCGCCTCAAAAACGGCAAAAGTTCAAACGCCGCTAACATCTTCATTTTTAAAGGAATCAAGACGTAACAAAAAGGTTATACGTAATTTTACTTTGTCTATCAAATGGCTATCTCGGTTTTTTGAAAATTTTGGATTTTGGCCTAAATTTTTTTCAAAAAACTGACTTTTTTGGGAAAATCATTATAAAATCCAAAATTTTGAGTCTATCGAAAAAACCGGAATATATGTCAGAGAAGTGGTCTATGTGCACCTACATACCAAATTTGAGAAGAATCGGTTCAAAAATGTGGGAGTTATTCAAAATTTTATGACGTCACGACACATAAATTTTTGGAAAAATGACTTTTTTGGAAGTTCTAGACCTCGTACGGAAACAAAAATAGCACCATTCGATTCGCCGTGAAAAACTGCATCAGATAGACACCTTTTTAGGCCTTAACAACCAACTTCAAAATTTGACCTCACTTGACCTGACCTTGACCTGACCTCGACCTGAAATTCATCCAGAGGTGGTCCATATCACTTATTGAGTGTGCCTATTGAATTCTATGAGTAAAATGACTCATAAAACATGTGTCGCACATGCCCTTTTCTATATTTTGTTTTTGGGTGACCTGACCTGACCTGACCTGACCTTGACCTTGACCTCTGAATGATATTGTATGCAACGAATATTGTCTTGGTAGCCTAAGAACACGTTTTGGGCGATCAGTCTCAGTCCATGACTCCATTCTTCGGCAACTACTGTGCAAGGCCGATACTGTAGAAACTTGCAATTTGTACCCTTGACCTGACCTTGACCTTGACCTCAAACTTTAAATTAAGTACATGTTTTTAGTAGTTCGTGATGAGATCTTTCGATTGGCGTTTGAATTTTCCAAATCGGACCATTAGTTCGGGAGATAACAGGGGGGTAAAATTTACCCCCCCCCCCCCCAGCCCCGCGCGTTCGGCTGGAGACCCCAGCCCCGCGCGGGTTAAAGTGCACCGCGCCTCCCCTGTGAGTTTGCCATCTACATAAGTTATCCCACCACTCGATCTGTTGGTAAGTGGCCGCTATATCCGGAGCGCGCAGTAGCGGAGGAACACCTTCAATTAAGAGGGGGGGGGGGGGGCACTGCCGACTTTTGGTTCCATTTTTTCCATGCAACGCCCATAGGGCTAATGTTAAGATGCCAAAATCAAAGGGGGCACGGCGCCCAGGTGCCCTCCCCGTTCCGCCGCCTATGGGAGCGCGGCCAGACGTTACCCACCGCGCGTGTCCCGGCGACGGGACCCGTCCCCTCGGGATGACGGCAGTCGCGACCGGTAAAGGCTCACCGAATCGATGGCACCGGCAGCGGCGCACCGGTAAAAAAACATGGCCGGCTCGATACGGTCCGATAGCACCAGGTGGAATGGATACCTACCCGAGCGGGATACCACCGTAACGGTATACGATGAGCCAGTGGCTGAATGGAAAATCAGTGGGAGGATTACGGGCATACTCGCATGCAATAGATGAATCAGCGACGTCCTTTGAAAAACTACCACAAATTAGTCAGTGTCTAACCATTGAAAAAGAAACTTAATGGCAGTCATGGTTAGCGAATGAGATATCCGATCATACAATCATAGGTTTTCTGCAACGTAAAATTGGCACATTGAAAAAAAAACATTCGGCAATGAAAGTTACAAGTTGAGTGCCTTCGCATCGATTACCGAGTGGTTGACAACGATACACGAGATTCATCCGGGAAATATCAAACAGAAATGGCTGAATTGATATTCCGGCCACTGAGGTGACCTGTGACGTAAGGCTTTCACTTGCTGTCCAGCTCAGCCATGCGCCCATCGTGAACAGATCGATATCGCTGGAGAACGTGAATGCGTTACCAGACCGTCTTTTAGCCAACGGTGTACTGCAGGGTAATCCATCACCGATGGTGACTGCCGCCATTAAAACTAGGAATTTTAAACGAACCATTTATCTTCCACGCGCGGGCAAGAAAATCAAAGGAAACGCTAAAAGCAGTTCTCGGCAAAGAACGAACAAGTCCATAATTAGAAAATGGGCCATCTATCACGATAGAGGTTTGGAGTCGATTACAGGCTATCATAAGATCACAAGGATTGGAAGGAAAAACAGAAAAGTCGGATGATATCAAATGGAGCAATAGCAAAGAAAGCATTCTTTCTTGAAGGAAAACGATCGGAAACATATGATATCGTTGCGAATTCGCTTTTAAGTGCCGTTTTATTGATTCAAGCAAAATTATGCATAGTTGTTAACAATGCGTAATTTAATGTTAAGATACAATTATATTCTAGCATGATTAGAAAACATAGTGCGCTCGAATACCACGTGGTGAGTGTCCATGTCGTTTGGTGTCGATTTGTGGGGTTTTTCGGGTCACTCACGCTGTGACGAGGACCTGCGGATGATGTTCTCCAAGAAGGTGTTCTGGGGCGCGACCAGACCCCGGCGGCCGCCGGGCATCTTGTCCGACGCCAGTCAGCGGCTGGGCCGTGACGTCATCACGGACACCGGTGACGTCATCAGGGGCACGGCGGCGCTCGCAGGCGGTCGTCAGGGCTCTTCATGACGTCACCGCGTAGACGAGTCCACCTGAGAAAGGTCAGGATTGGTTAATTCAACGTCGCCAGAGTCGCACACAGCGAACTGCGCTAACTTTGCAGACTGCTCTGAAGCTAGGCTAATGAGACGCAGAATCTGCATGAGACTCGCTTTAGCTGTTGGTTAATTGCTAATTTTAGCGCTGCTCAAAATGCATGTGGGACAACACAGGAATGGCGATATTTCTCACTGAGCACAGCGCTGGCCCAGTCTTCTCTTCTGGCTAAATGTGGAACAAAAATGGAACGCAGCGCACAATGTCATTACCATAACGTAATCAATGACATTACTTGCATGTTCCCCTGTGATGAACACTAATGAGATGATGTAACTGGCACGAATTATCTTGCATTGAGAATGTTAAGTATTACGAGGTTTTGTTCGCGATAAGCATTTACCTACGCTTAACCCGCGCACCGACGGGGGTCTGCGCCAACTTCGCACCGACGGGGGGGGGGCGGATGACCGCCCCCCTGAGATCTCGAGAACGAAGCAAGATAGCGACAAGCGGTAAACGGCATCGGATACGCACGGCCAAGATCTACCATTTTTACTAAGGTCATTTTCAGGTCAGGTCAAAGATGACGTCACAGGGGTCGAAAAAGTCAAAATGGCGGCGCTAGATATGGAGAGAGTTTTTCTCGAATAGCTTTCGAATTAGTCAAGATAGGAACAAACTAAGGCAGGGGTCGGCAAATGGTGGGGCATGCCCCCTTGGGGGGTAATGGAGCCCTTTCGGTGGGGGTAATGAGGGATTCTGAGAAAGCCTATCTTTTTAGAGTTTGTAGCTCCAGTGATGGAGCCATCGTGACTGTTGCATCCCAGGGTTCAAAGATTAGCCCAGGCCAAAGGCACAGCAGTCAGCACACATTGATTAGATACCAATTTTCACGTACCTGCTCGCCTCACCATCTCACCCCTCCGTACAGTCGTACAAAAGCAGCTGCAACTTTTGACCGTCGCCCGTCTGTTGGCGTTTCAACAGCCGCTAACGTAAGGGGGAGGAGTCGACCGGACCCCCGCGGCCTCTCGGACTCTGATATGGAGCTGTGCATAAAAAAGACGAGCGTGCTACCCATGACAATAGGAAGCCGCTGCTGCCCATTTTTAAGGTCCTTGGTCATTCCGTCTCATTCAAGAGGGCAATGACAAGTGTCGAGAAAATCGGGACCCGCTATAACTCCTTGAAGTGAGAGTTTATGGCTCAAGATGATCTCCAGAAAAAGCTCATAAGCCAACGGTCATTATGGGTCCAGAGGCCAGTTTTACCAACAGAAAAATAGCCGCCTGCCGGAATTTTTGCCTAAAGATCGTTTCACATATGGAGCGTAAACGGTACAGCCCTATCCGCTTACGGGCCCATCGCGTTTACGCTCCGTATCTCTCATTCCCGTCTCGGAGACCAGAAACCTTGGAGTCCAGTTTGACTGTACTCTCAGCTGGGATGCGCACGTCTCATCAATCGCTCAGCGTTGTTTTGGTATCCTCATCGGATTAGCGCTACTGAGGGGTCACCTGCCGCCGTCAGTAATCTAGCGATACTGGTTGATGCGTTAGTCATTTCACATATCCGTTATTGTTTGTCTGTTTATGGTAATGGTACGCGCAAAAATATTAATCGCATCCAAAAAGTCATAAACTATGCGGCTAAAGTCATTTTTGGACGCAAGAAATTTGATCACGTGTCTGACTTATTACATGAATTAGGCTGGCTTAAAGCCAGTGAGCTTGTCGAGTACCATACTCTGTGTATGGCTCACAAAGTGCGTCGCACGGGAGTGCCTAAAACGCTTGCCGATAACCTCATTTTGAGGTCGGACATTCGGGACTGCGATACTAGGCAGAATAACAATCTGCAGGTACCTATGTCCTGTACAGAAATGGGCCGGAGACGTTTTTGTAGTCGCGCACCCCGACAATATAATGCTCTGCCTCATGATCTGACACTACTGCCAATACCAACGTTTGCTAGCAAGTTAGTGAGCCATATATGTGACCGACCTGTACAGACATAATCTAAATACCTGCGTTCTTGATGACATGTATGTTAGTGTACTTGAATGTGGCTGTGAGCATCTCGAACAACCATCCCATTGTATGTTACATTCAACGTGCAGCCTGCAATTTAATTGTTAGCAATTATTATTATTATCATTTTTCGTTATGTTGATTAAGGCTGCGGCATTTGTGTTGTGCTCACTATGTATGATGTGATGACGCCACTGTTTTTCGCTGTTACCGATCCTTTTGGAACTGTAATAGCCCCAAGTCGATTGGGGAAAGTTCCGAAACAATGTGAAGCGGTCTTGAGGCAAAAATTCCGGCAGGCGGTTATTTTTCTGTTGGTAAATCTGGTCTCAGGTCATGATATTTTCCGGGCTGGTAAAAAAAATATGATGGGCTCGAGGGTACAATTTGGTCGTGATCCAATGCCTTTTACGTGAGTTTTTAACGAAAAACCACCCGCCGCCCCTGTATGTACAAGGGTTAAATGGGATATAGCATAGGCAGCGGAACGGGGAGGGCACCGGGGCACCGTGCACCCTTTGATTTTTGCATTTTAACATTAGCCCTATGGGCGTTGCATGGAAAGAATGGGACCAAAAGTCAGCAGTGCCCCCCCCCCTCCCCTCCCCCTTAATTGAAGGTGTTCCGCCGCTACTGGGATATAGGCATTAAATGTTTTGTGGAGGAAGTGTCATGTTTTAAACTTGATGCATTGGAAATGCACAAATACCCAAAGAGTTCCAGGACGGTATGGAATTTCAGCAAACTTGGTTGTGTCAGCAATGGGGTCTGGTAGGTGGGGGTAATGGCCCTGCCTGGCGCCCCTGCCTGACCTAATAATATCCTGCGACTTTCAAAGGCCTCCAACATCTACTGTAGCTCTGGCACGGTGACAAAGTTGCAAAAAAGTGACTTGAGGTTGGGTCATTCAAAGTGACCTGGTGACCTGACCTTAAAAGGTAGGAGGTTCAAACTTGCACACCATATGTAAAATTGATGAGGTTATAGTCATACAAAATTTCGCGGCGCTACGCGCCGCGGTTTTCCCGCTATTCGCGAAAAACCTCAGGGGGGGGGGCGGATATCCGCCCCCCGTCGGTGCGAGGGTTAAGTGTAATGAGTAGAGTCTTTTAGTTTCGAAGCCGATAGATGATAAGTGAGAGCGATCTTATCCTATGGAGCTATTCTGAGAATGTTTCGGGTTGCTCGAAAGTATGATGTGCTGCTCTCCAGTCTCCGTGTACCTTATCAAATGAGATGCCGACATTTGAAGCCATTTCTTGTATTATGACTTGGGAAAATAAGGTATCCAAAGCCGTTCTCAATTCCAAATACTTAACGATAAGCGATGCACAAAAAAGAAACATCAATTTCCTACTTCCACCATCTTTCCATTATGAAATGTCAAAAGGATCCACCGCGAGCGTTCTGCTCCCGTCACCTGCTCGGATATTGGCACACTTATCTCACCAGACTTCAGGGTTTCCATTTTGTCGAGCTCAGCCGTTTTGCCAGCGTCTGCTCCGCCTCGCCCGCACCTCTCTGAATACGAGCGGAACATCGTCGAGCAACACGCGGCCGCAGAAACTGCTGGCCCGGCACTCCGCAGCGGTCGGATATTGCGCGCAGGAGTCGTCTCATCTGTATCCCGTTCCACCTCACACGAGTTATGTGCGCGTCGAAAGAGAATTTCAGGGAAAACGTGAGCCGCGATGTGAAAACCAAACTGTGTTTTTCATCCTATCCGGTGGATCGGGGGAATATTTGGGTTAGCGAAAGTAATCAGCGAGCCGGCTTTGCGTGTCAATTTATGGCCATCGAGGGATGATTGGCTGCGAGGTTCAAAACAGGATCGGAGTGGCAGTATGGGCGCAGAGTGGACAGGCACTATTCGTCGGCGTCCGGTGGTGAGGTGGCGCAGCGGCTCACCTGTAAGTAGACATGGAATCGTCTCCCCGAGCATTGGATAAGTCGGGCCAGCTGATAACTGATGAAGGGCTCATGTCATCTGATGACTGAAGAAGGGGTCCACGCAGGGCAGCTACCTATCCCTGTTGCAGTCTTTCATTTGCAAGTCCTAACCCACAAGTCTGGTTACAGAAAACGGTACGACTGATGCTGAACCATTGCAGCATACTTAACTCCTCATTTCTTCATACCATACAACAATCTAGAATCTGAATCGATCTCGCCGGTCTTGAAATGCGCCTCGACAGGGGCATGTGAGGGCGACATTCGGTGGCGAGGGGGTTTCGCTTGTTCACTTTGTTCCTGTTGCTCCATCCTTTCTCTCCCCCTGGTGCCACGGTATATCGATATGGTCAATCGAACCCTGCGCTCTCGCTAGTAGTCGTACTTATGCTGTTATCGGTTCCACCTCAATTGACCGATGTCACGCCCCAACAGGCAGTGGCGTGACAGGTCACGTGACGGTCTGTCACGTGAGAGTCACATGGGACGCTCGTCCAATGCTGCCCAATTACAGTCATCGCCGCCCAGTTATGTATGTGGCCCGACAACCCACGCCATTATAGATTATTGGCGGTCGGCCATTATTGTTGCGCCTCGGAAACAGGTGCGCTTCGCCGAGTTGGTTGGTGTTGTTACTTGTTCTTCGTTTTTTTATGTGGAGATTTAAGTTATCAATACCTACATCGTATGCCTGACCAGAAAAAAATAATATTAATTATTTGTTTGATGACTTGGTGATGGAGATCTATTAGTTTGTTTAAAAATGGCATACATTGCATACTCTCGCTGTAGTGCTTCCCCAAGTTTGATTGGAATAATACAACCTCACTTTTTCGATGCATTTAATTGTACCTACGAGTAAACCGAAACTACTTTATTGCATGTTAATCAAGTTTTGTAAATGGGGACCACACTATGGTAAATAAAGTTCATTAGTGCAACATTACTTAACAGTTAATTTCGTGCATTGACTAAGGGGCAAAACACATTATCATAGATTATCACAAAAAATCTACACTCTTTTTCTAATAGCAAAGGTTCCTTAAAATACGTTATTTGGCGACGTAACTCGAAGCGCGTATTCGATGTCACATTATGCCGGCAGATCACGGTCCCACCATTGTGACCTCCGTTTGACAGACTAATTCCCTGTCCCTCTCGTTATGGAATATATCAAAGGCCCATGAACATGAACGACATCAATAAGAATCTGTCATCTACAGCTTCCACCCACCTAGCCTCTGATTTCAGCTAATAATAGCCACCGTTTCTGGAAGACATCACGGGAGCAAGCACACTGACAGGCGGAGTATCGTATCACTCGCTGCGCCTGCGACTGCATTAAATTTTGTGTGATGACAACATGGCCAGCGTTTGTCAATGTGTTACAAATAAGGCAAATCACCAATAGCCGTCAGTTGTACTTATATGCGCCCACAAGTACCCGGCAGCACAGCTAATGACGGACCACCGGCGGCGACGGCAGCTCGCCATAATGCCTCAGGCGGTTAATGACCCCGGGTGACGGGTGACCCCAGGTGCATGCCAGGTCGACGCTAACGGGTCTTCAGTCGCCTGAGGCAGTTATCCGGCCGCGCGGCGCGGGACAGAAGGGTCTGGGGAGGGTACGTGTGGCCTATTGTTGTGGTATAAGGAGGGTGTAAGGGTGATGGCAAGTGGTTTCGTTGTCGGATTTCTCTGTCACATGTATTGGTGTAGTACCGATTATGCATTAGCCGTGTTCTTAGTACACTCAATAGCGCCGGCTTTATGTCAAATGTCGGCTGAGCAGTGACGGGTGAGCCGAATGCCAGTTGGATGGCTTACACACCTATTCTTGCCAAAGGACACGTGCCTACCGACACGTGCCTACCCGCAAAAACGTCATGCCACAGCCGACGCGCATTGACTACAAAAGTCAGCATTGGAAATTGATGTTATAAAGTGACCAAGTCAGACCTTTCTCACGATTAGATGACCAATTAGTTACTTCGTCACGAAAACGTGCAGAACGCAGATTCAATCAAGTCCTGCTTCGTAACACATGTCTTATAAAGCATTCCACCATTAAAATTCGTATATTTGTGAACAAAGTAGAAAAATAGCTCACGTTAATTGGATGCAATATAAAAGGTATGAGAAAAACATGCCGAAAAGCAAAGCATGAATCGAATCGTCAGTTCTGCATTGCCATGCTATGCAGCGTCACCTATTGGGTTTCTAGAGTTGATTTCCATGTTTGATCTTGGGACCAAGTCATATTGAACCCACACAAAACTGGTGGTCCCCGATAAATGAGACAAGCCACGATCGACTTGATTTATGCTACAGAACGAGCCCAACCTACATCAATCCACATGTTACGCCTCCGCAATTGAGAGGAGCGAAAATGGCACCACCCTCAAAGGCCCAAATGAAAGGGGCCATGAACTAAGAACTTCGCCGTTTGGGAGTGTACCTTCGAATCTTCTGGGGGGAAGATATAAATATTCACGCTTTTATCGCCGGACCCTTTTTTCATGTAAAGGTTCCGTGTGTCTTTTAACGTTAATTTTATCTCTTTTGCGAAATGGTAAGCTAGCCTTCACCCGATTTTGGCCTTTAAACTCGCGCAAGATATCTTTAATGCAAGGGAAATATGTCAAGTGCATGAGTTATCAAAATTCATTTTGCTGAAACCCTATCTATTTGAGTGCTTGACCTAGCCCCGGTTTGCATAACTCCAAAGTAAGGTAAAAGACACTTTTTATAACGATTACGAGCTTTTGTTGGCTTCCTCTTTTGCACCTCTCCCGCTGGCTATTAAGTCAGGAATTATTTCGGTTTACGCCATTAACCCGGAACCATCAAGTTCAGGGTTTGACATTACCCCGACCAGCCGTGCAGGGTTAAGGTTCTTAGGTGTGGAACAGGAGCGGAAAAGGTAGTTCTTCTCGCAATGCGACAGTTTCCGTAATTGATAAAATTTAACTCTGTGATACAATGGTCGGGCTGAGGTTGCAATTATTTTATTTACTGTCAGACAGTATCAGATTTATTGTTATGATTTAATTGAAACTTCTTCAGTGTAAGTGATTTACAGCTTTGTGTACTGGGATAATTCAAAGGCGAGTTATTGATCACACTGAGACACGACCATCAGCTTTCATAAAGCACCGTAACTCTTCAGCGTTGACCAAATACCTCTAAAGTCATCGCTCTGTTATCATCTTTCTTTACAAAGTCGACATGTATGACATTAAATGCGGAATATGAGCGGAGATCGATTAATCTCTTTGGTCAGTTACATGATCTGTGTGTGCATTAACGGCAGATGGCGCGTCTTAGGTGAAACCTTAGATGTCAGGGATGTTAGAGGGAATCATCAGGGGACGTACATACGGTCAATAACAAATATGTTATGTGATACGCATCTTAAGGATCATCTAAGAAAGATTGATAGAGTCATGATGTAACTATAGCAAGTTATTTATCAAATTTATATTTGCCATTCACAAAGCCATTTATACCTATTTGCTTCAGACTCAAAATGCTGCGCATATTTTCGGACCAACCGTCATAATGTTTGAAGCTTACCTTGAGAAAACTTCCGAAAAGCAGCATCCAGAAAAGCCGTTCAGCTTTTCGAGATATCCAACACTTGCACAGCTATAACCCGTAAGCCCGGCAAGTCTTGCGCTCGTCTGTCTCCCTCAACACACCGTCTTCCGAATCACCTCACCAGACTGACTACCAATCCCTCACGGCTCTGCACTACTCGGGCATCAACAGGCAATTCACCACTACAACCGCTTCAATGCACTAGCAAAACCACGCACTTAACGCACTCCTAGACCATTCCGATCACGACTCTGCGTTCCAGCACCGGCGTCCGTACGGCGTCACTCGTCTGACTCTCGGCTTCCCCTGAGGTCACACAGCCACCGACCGACCGGCCGTCACTGACCGTCGCCAGCGGCGGAGCGTCGTCGCCGACGACCCGACTGTCGACCGCAGCCGCGCGCCGACGCAACGGTAGGGGGAGGGGAGGGGGAGAGAGGGAGGGAGGAAAGGAGAGAGAGAGAGAGAGAGAGAGAGAGAGAGAGAGAGAGAGAGAGAGAGAGAGAGAGAGAGAGAGAGAGAGAGAGAGAGAGAGAGAGAGAGAGAGAGAGAGAGAGAGAGAGAAGGGAGGCTGAGCGGGTTTCTTGGAGAATGCGTGAGTAACCAGTAAATTACAGCTTTCCATCAGGGTTGTGCTCGACTCATAAAAATTTGCCGACTCGACTCATCATTCAACTTCAGAAAGCCCTGACTCAACTCTGACTCAAACAAGGAGCTGATTTTTTCTCTTGACTCGACTCGTGACTCAAGCGGCTCAATGAAAATATGAGTCGACTCAAGCTTCAATCAATTTTTGTTGTTGTTGTTAAAATTGACTCAGATAAAAAGCTGTTGAGCGGGGGTGAAAAAAAAAGATTCGGCAGCAGGGCCAGGGCTAAGTTGTTAAGCGGGGGGGGGGGGGGGAATGAAAGCCTTATATTTATATACATATTTTTTCTAAAAAGTTGAGTCAGCTGACTCATGTTCCTAAATGTTTGACTCAACTCAATGTCAAAAGTTATTTTACTGACTCAACTCTACTCAACTCAACACCTTAATATTTTTGTCCGACTCAACTCTAACTCAACTCAACAGCTCAACATTTTATCCGAATCGACTCAAATCTAACTCATTTGAGTCAGGGTTGAGTCAACTTTCTGACTCGACTCATGAGTCAAGCACAACCCTGCTTCCCATACCATAAAAGCATCCAACCACACATGTAGTGATCATAATCTGACTTGTTTGAAATGACGTTATCACTTTCACACTCTGTAAGTACACTTTAACCTGCGCCCCAGTGGCGGTCTCAGCCAACTTCGCCCTAGTGGGGGGGGGCATATGTTACCACCCACCTCTAACTCAAAAACTAAGAAGGATAGAAAGGCGCGGTAAAAAGAGTCGATAGCTCTCGATGCGTACGTTTGAAAGTATTTCGGTCATTTTTCATCTTAGAGCAATATTGGGGTCACCAGAGGTCATCAAAGGTCAAAATTTGCGAATTATCATTATATTTTTCAGAAAACATGCCAATATCTCAGCAACTATGATAGAAAACCGCTGGGAAAAGAAATCGATAGCTTTTGAACTCTTCTTTTGATAAGGTCATCACCAAAAATGACCTCAGATCAACGGTTTAGCCTCCAGAGGGCAAAAACTCCAAAAAAAAACTGTTTTTACTAAAAGTGTTTTTCGACAATAACTTTTGACTGAAAAAAGCTAGGACATTTCTATTGCCAGAATCGTGTTCCTCTCGCCGAGACGCGTCGAATGAACTATAATTTGACCCCAGTTCAAGGTCATGACCTGACCGGAAAAGGTCATGTTGCATATCAGTCGATGCGTCTCGGCAAGACAAACACAATGAGGCCAACCCCAGCGTTCTATCTTTTTCCAATCGAGAGTTATTGGCAAAAAACGGTTTGTAGGATCAAATGACCTCGGATGAGCTTTCTAGAGGCTATCAGCAAAAGAAACACCTTGGTCGTCACTGGTGGTCCAAATCATCGTGATTCTGAAATATTTGGACTGTTCCTATGCGTACACACGGATCTAGAGGCATTTTCGTTTTTCTCCATTGACTTATACCTAATGGAAAGGTCACGCCACTGACCTGACCTTAGGTCACGCATATAAAAAAAATCCGAGATATACAAATTGTAGGCACCTATGACATCATGCAATCTACCAAGTATAAAACCTCTCTGACAATTGACAAACACTGCAGGCTGGACATGATTGCAAACTTTTTTAGGCGTGGTCTGTTAACTTGACCTGGTGACCTGACCTGACATGACCTGGGTTTAAAAATTTCACACATTGTCCCAAATTGATGTACCAAAAGCTACCCGAAGTGTTTTTTTATTTACACGCAAAAAAACGCGACAGGGTGGTAACATATGCCCCCCCCCCAAACTGGGGCGAAGGATAAAGGAGATGCCTGAGCGCCAATTCATTAGATAACTGATTTGGCTTCACCTGCATCCCGCCCGCGCTGGGTGGGGGAGGGGGAGGGGCAGAATCTGCTCACAAATCCCTTCCGTGCTCCTTCAATACCTTCCAAAGGCTTTAAGCTGGCTAGGTCAAACTATCTGGACCACCCTGTGTACCGTGTGATACATATGTCTTACATTAGTTCAACGTGATCCCTGTAAATTTAAGTGCGTCGGAAAAGCCACCAATGGGGTCACAAGGACTTGCCAAATTGAATGATATGCGATATGACCTCCTTCAACTTACTTTGAGATTTGACCCTGACCTGAGGTCAACATCTTAACCCTCGCATGTGTGCGGCGTTTGCCAGCTTCTAATGTGTAGGGGGGGGGGGGTCGGTTGGACCCCCCCTTGTCGTTTGGCCCCCATGATTGAGCTAGAGCTTCGCGGAAAAAACGAGCGTTTTGCCCGTGACAAGAGGAAGCCGATGATACCCAATTTTAAGGTCCTAGGTCATTGGTTGACCTTCCAGGTCAGGTCAATAACCCAAGGTCGGGAAAATCGGGACCTGTTAGAAAGTCGTAAATTGCGGCTGCTAAGGGTTTTTCGGATGATCACGAATATCGTATTAGTTTTGATCAGAGATGATGTCTTTAAGCATTTAGACCAGGTCGAGTCAGGTCAGGTCAGGTCAACCAGTAGGCGTCGTGACGGTTATTCGTAGTACGTGTCAACCGCCTCTGACAGCTTCGTAACATGTTACGAAGTCACCAAAACTACTTCGTAAATGTTCAAATGGTTGCTAAATTCGAGTTCAGATCCAGAAACTAGCCTAGAAAGTAGAAACATGTAAAACTCGAAAAAGTGAACCGAGGTCACCAAAGGTCAATGACCTGACCTGACCTTCAGGTGACCTTGACTTGAAAATTTGACGTCATCAATTTTGAACAGTTTTTTTCGCTATAGCTTGGCCAAAAAATCGATCGATATCGATCTGAAATTTTGTACGTATATAAAAAAGTGCAGGGACTATCACATATATTACGTTTTTTTTGAAACTCGGAAACATTTTGGATTTTTTAGCGTTTTTCTAATTTTTTGAATTTTTGGGGGTCAAAAACCCACAATTTTGAAAATCCGAGATAGCCATTTTGTAGCGCCGCTTTTTGTCTACATGACCATATAAAGAACTTTGAAATTGCTTGGTGACTGTAGATTTTGTAAGCGTTTCAAGATATCATGTTTTTGGTCATTTTTGCTCGAACATGACCTCAGTTTGACCTTAATAACTCCTGACCTAAGGTGACCTAGGACTTGAAATTTGGAGTGAAGGTGTCAAATTGATGCCCGGGAACGTACTGAGAATTTGGCGGCGCTGCGCGCCTCTGTTTTCTTGTTTTTCAGGAAAAACCACAGGGGGGGCCAAATTGCCCCCCCGGGGAGGCCAAATTGCCCCCCCCCCCAACGGGACGAGGGTTAAGTTGACCTCATCCATATAAAACGTATATCATTCGAAGCGTCTGAGCATTACGAACAGGTATGATGGTGCCGAAATCGCGGTGCTGCGACCATTTCTGGGGAAACTATTTACCGAAACCCATCCCGTACCATGGAGCACTTGACCTGACCTCAGAGATCACCGGTTGACCTGAAACCTTTAAATCGGATGCCAATCGCTGCGTCTTGTAACGGCGCACACTCATCTTTTTTTTTTGGCGCGGCTCTGGTTTAATGTGGGGTGAAGCAGCGAAGGGACCGTGACCCCTGGTCGACCGGTATGTAGAAAACCGATAGCTCCGGCGAGGGGTAAACATCACATTCACTAGTGACCATCATTAAAATGGCCTGTCTCTAACTACTGACTACTCGTATGGGCAGCGCACGCTGGATCAGCAAGCGGAGCCTTTGTCAGTCGTCTCCTTCAGAAGCCAGGTGGTGACGTCTGGCGGCCGACAAGAGAAGCTTCAGTTGGCAACTATCGGACGTTGCCAGGATGGCCTGATGCCGACCGATTTATTCATATGCATGATAACCCGAAATGGTCGAACTTGGCCGAATTGTTCAAAACTAAAGCAAAGGAAAAACTCACGAATGCACAGTAATTGCCTACCTTGGTATGTAGCGGGCGGGCCGCGTCTCTTCGACGCTTTCCTCGAACGACATTGAACTTATGGTCGGCTAAACTGAAAGACGATAAGCAAAATCCCAACTACATAATTTGTATTGAACGCAGCCCAGTAGATAAAAAGAGGATTCAAAAAGCAAATGACATACGTATAAGTTGTGACATGTCCATATCATCTTAGAACAATATGTTCAATACAATTCCTTAAACGTTGCTTGCTTTTGACCCTGATGCCCCGAATCTCTAAAAAACAAGCAACAGTACATCGCCACACATCATCTAATCCTGGCGACCATGGTAGCCCATCTGACAACTGCAGGGGGCAGCTATCGACCCGATCTGGTTTACAGGTCACAGGTCACAGGTCACAGGTCACAGGTCGACGTAGGCGGAGCCGATCATGCTCCTGCCTCCGCTCCTGTAGGTGTGCGTCTTGAGGACCAGCTGCTGGTTGCCCAGCTTCACTCGGCAGTTGCGATCGGGACGCGCGTAGAAGCAGAGCGTGAACAGAGAGATCTCCACCTCCGGAGACGTGCCCACCAGCATGCTCGTCACCGGCTTCAGGTAGGTATCCCACTTGAACGGGAACTTGATCACCATGGCGGTCTGTGGGCAAAAGTACGGATCGTGTAAAATATGACTGATCGAGCAGGTGCCGTTTAAGCCGAACAGACCACCGATATACATGGCCATATGCTGATTATTTAGGGACATATTTGTGTTATGAGGTTATCGGTGGAGCCAACAAATAACTAAAGTACATTTAGTTATTTGTTGGCTCCACCGATA